AACTGATTGCTTTAACTAGTAAGATGGCATTGGTACATGCCAACTTAATGGAATTTGGAGTCCCATGGCACGTTTCTAGCTCTACCATTAGGAGTAAGTCTGAGTGAGCATGTGCCGAACTGTATATCACCTCCCTCTCTTATTCCCACTCTTTTTTTTTTTAAAACATGGATCAGTTTTCAGTCGAATTTAAACACCTAACAATAATTGTGTGTTAATTAAAGAGTTCAACCAATGGTATTAAGTAGAAAAAGAAAACACTAAAAAAAAAAATAGTAAGCTGTTCCTCAACAGTCACCACAAGAGCTGATCAAGTCATTGTTTCTCATAGTGTCAGTTTACATCTGCTTTTAGTAACTGATAAAACATCTAGTCAAAATTTAGTGGAAACATACATGATCTGATCACAACTATCCACCATCTTGACCTGGTATTTATAAAAATTACCCCTGCCAATATAGGACACATTGAAGAACACATGGGCCATTCTCCAAGACTGATCACATGCTGTGACAAAAGTCTATAAATTCAAAAGAATTTAAATCATAACAATATATAAGCTCTCTGATCATAACAGAAGTAAATTAGAAATCAATAACAATAAATAACTGGAAAATACCACAAAATACTTGGAAACTAAATAACACAAATAACTATAATGCCTAAGTCAAGTAGAAATCAACAATGAACATTAAAAATATTTCAAATCGAATTATAATTCAAATATAACATTAAAATTTATAGAATAAACATAAAAAATACAACATAAAAATTTGTAGAATTCAACTAAGTGCTCAGAGGGAAATGTTCAAGATAGCAGAACTGGGAGGGAGCTTACTGTTGTAGTCTAGGGCAAAAAAGAAGTGGAAAGAGTGCAATCTCAGGGAAGGGTTAGGGATAAAAGGGCAGAGTAAACTCTATGCGAATTAAATGGACACTGTGAATCTACATCGAGGGTTTGGACGTGCACAGCTCAAGACCCCAGCCTCAGCATAAGCTGTGGAGTGAGATGAGACCAGACTGCAGCAGCCTAAGCCACTGGCAACAAAGCTCTAGGAAGAGCCCAATGAGAGTCCAGCTTGGAATCTGGAGGACAGTGTACCTGGCAACCTAGAGGGGAAAAAAAGGGGGCGTGTCTCTCTTTTGCTGACTACCCAGCACTGGCATCATGTAACTAGCCAAGAGAGGGAATAAACCATTTTGGACATAAGTAACAGCTGCTCCAGCTTCTGTCCCCACAACCAGCAACCAGCCAAGGGGAGACAGCTGAGTTTGGCTGGGAGCATTGACGGGGGCTGGAAGCTTGTAACTATGGGAACCTTGTGTGTCTGTATTGTGAAAACACCTTGGCTGTGACTTAGGGTAGGCACTCTGGGCTGCTCCACTTGCTTGGGGATCCCTGATTCCCTGGTGAGGGTCACTGCTGCAGGATACATGTTAACACAGAGAACTGCATGGATCCTTTGTGTGGTGCTTATGGTAATATGCATGAAAACTGTACCCACAAGGGCTAGTGCCCAGGCACTGGTCTCCTTTGAGGAGAGGAAGTGAGTGAGAGAATATGCCAACAGAGGTGAATAAACCTCTCCCCTGATTAAAAAAAAAAAAAATTACCAAGCCCAATTTGGGTGTCACCTTGGACTCTCCCCTCATCCTGGAGCATTAAACAGAGTTCCTGGTCCACACCCAGAACATGTCTCTGGGTATTCACTGAAAGAGCAGACATTCTACTATCCCACGAGGCATAGTTTAAACATAAAAGCCATTACATGGGGGAAAAAAAAACAACAAGTATCTCTACAAATGCCAAATAATAAACTCAGTAACTCAAGAACTAAGAATAAGGAAGATAACATGACGCCCCCCGAAAAGAACACAACACTTCAATATTAGAATGTGAAGATGAACAGATTAATTAAATGCCAGAAATGGAATTCAAAAACCTGATTGTAGGATTACTTAGAAGTAATCAGAGGGGCCAGCGCTGTGACGTAGCAGGTAAAGCCACCACCTATAGTGCCAGCATTCCATATGGATGCCAGTTCAAGTCCTAGCTGCTCCACATCTGATCCAGCTCTCTGCTACTGCCTGGGAAAGCAGTACAGATGGCCTAAGTCCTTGGGCCCCTGCATGCACATGGAAGACCCGGAAGAAGCTCGTGGCTTCAGATTGGTGCAGCTCCAGTCATTGTGGCCATCTGGGGAGTAAACCATCGGATGGAAGATCTCTCTCTCTCTCTCTCTGCTTCTGCCTTTGTGTAACTGCCTTTTGAATAAAATAAATCTTTAAAAAAAGTAATCAGAAGCAAATTCATGAACTAAACACACCCATACATGGCATGAATGAAAATTTTTCCAACAAAATTGAGATTTTAAAGAGAAATCAAAACAAAATATTGGAAATGAAGAATTCAATAGAACAAATAAAAAATGCGGTGGACAGCCTTAAGAACAGATTCAGTGAGGCAAAATAAAAAATATCCAAAAAACAGTGTCATAGATTTATGGGATACTATTAAATGACCTAACATATGGGTCTTAGCAGTTACTGAAGGCATGTGAAGAGAGAATGGATTAGAAGGCCTTTTGGTGAAATCATTACAGAGAACTTCCCTAATTGGGGAAAGAGATATCAAAGTACAGAAGGCACATAGAACTCCTAAGAGAAATGACCAGAAAAGATCTTCATCTCTCTCTCTGTCTCTACCTCTCTCTATAACTCAGACTTTCAAATAAATAAAATAAATCTTTACAAAAAAAGTCCATATTACTACTGAAAAAAAATTTACAGATTCAACACAATACCAAAATACCAAGGACATTTTCCTCAGATATATAAGAAATGATGCTGAAATTCCTATGAAAACATAGGAAACCCCAACTAGCTAAAGCAATATTATACAACAAAAACAAAGCCAGAGTCATCATAATATCAGATTTCAAGACACACTACAAGGCAGTTATAATCAAAACAGCCTGCTACTGGTACAAAACAGATGGATAGACCAATGGAACAGAATAGAAATGCCAAAAATCAATCCATGCATCTACACCCAACTTATCTTTGACAAAGGGGCTAATATCAATCCCTGGAGCAAGGACAGTCTCTTCAACAAATGGTCCTGGGAAAACTGGATCTCTACATGCAGAAGTATGAATCAGGACCCTGGCTTAAACCTTATACAAAAATCCACTCAAAATGGATTAAAGACCTAAATCTATGACCCAGTAACCTTAAATTATTAAACATTGGGGAAACCCTGCAAGACACTGGCACAGGCAAAGGGTTCTTGGAAAAGACCCTAGAGCACAGGCAATCAAAACCAAAACTGACAAATGGTTTTACATTAAATTGAGAAGCTTCTGACTGCAAAAGAAACACTCAGGAAAGTGAAGAGGCAACTTACAGAATGGGAGAAATTATTTACAAACCATGCAACTGACAAAAGATTAATAACCAGAATATATAAAGAGTTCAAGAAACTCAACAACAACAAAACAAACAACACAGTTAAGAAATGGGCAAAAGACTTAAACAAACAGTTTTCAAAAGGGGAAATCAAAGTGGCCAAAGGACACATGATAAATACTCAGGATCACTAGCAATCAGGGAAATGCAAATCAAAACCATAATGAGGTTTCACCTAACCCCGGTTAGAATGGCTTTCATACAGAGATCAACAAACAACAAATGCTGATGAGGATGTGGGGAAAAAGGTACCCTAATCCACTGTTGGTGGAAATGTAAACTGGTGCAGCCACTATGGAAGACAGTATAGAGATACCGCAGAAATTTGAATATAGACCTACCATATGACCCAGTCATCCTACTCCTGGGAATTTACCCAAGGGAAATGAAATCAGCATCTGAAACAGTTATCGGTACCCCATGTTTACTGCAGTCCATTTCACAATAGCTAAGATAAGGAATCAACCCAAATGCTTACCAACTGAAGACTGGATAAAAAAAAATTATGGGATATAAACACCATGGAATACTATACGGTAGTAAAAAAAAAAACTTGTTCACTACAAAATGGATGATACTGGAAAGCATCATACTTAGTAAAATAAGCCAGTCAAAAAGAAAAATACCATCTGTTCTCCCTGATCTGTGATAACTAATAGAGCACTTAAAAGGTAATCCATAGGACTGAATTTTTTTTTTAAAGATTTATCTTATTTATTTGAAAGAGTTACACAGAGATTGAGAGGCAGAGAGAGAGGTCTTCCATCTGCTGGTTCACTCCCCAATTGGCCACAATGGCTGGAGCTACACCGAACCAAAGCCAGGAGCCAGGTGCTTCCTCTGGGTCTCCCATGTGGGTGCAGGGGTCCAAGCACTTGGGCCATCTTCCACTGCTTTTCCAGGCCACAGCAGAGAGCTGTATCAGAAGTGGAGCAACCAGGACTCGAACCAGCACCCTTATGGGATGCTGGCACTGCAGGCAGTGGCTTTACCTGCTATACCACAGCGCCAACCCCAGGACTGAAATTAATATTTCGAGATGACTTGTAACAGCCCACCTGTTGAGCAACAGGTTTTTTTCATATAATTTGTTGAATTTTTTACTTAGTATAGAGTTAATAGTATGTGAATAAAGTTAATTGAAAATAGATCCTTGTAAAACATAAGAAAGGGAATAGGAGAGGGAGGAGGAAGAAGTGTGGGAGCGGTGGGTGGAAGGGTGGTACGGTGGGAAGAATCACTATCTTCTTAAAGTATCTATGAAATGCATAAAGTTTGTATTCCATAAATAAAAGGTTTCTGGTGGAAAAAAAAGAAGGAAATGTATACTTTCAATACATATATGAAGATAACAAAAAAGAAAAGTAAAAGTATCAATTACCCAAGGTCTACTTCACAAACTAGAAAAAGGAACACACAGAAATAAGTAGAAAACCATTTCGGTTTTAGAAATTCAGATATGTACTCTTTAGAAATTATTTTGCCTAAATTTAATAGCAAAAATGTAAGTATATATTATCATCTTCACTTACGTTTAGAAGACTGCTTCCCATCACTCTTTGATCTTTCTGATCTCCCCTCATCAGTATCCTGATCATCTGGTTCCTTCATGTCCCTAATTGAGACAGAAAGGGGCAATAGTATAAAAACAGAAATTAACACTTTTTTCTCCTTGAAATTTTCTCTACAAACATCAAACACCATGCGGTTAGTAATCCTGTTTGCACGGTAGCCAAGATGACCCACCAGTGGGAGCAAATTAAAATCACAGATTCCCCCCTTTTAGGCCAACTTGTCACCACGTGTACTCTGGCTTTCCAGAGGTCCACAGTGAGACATACCATCCAAGCCTATCTTCCCCAAGTGCCTCACCACTAAAATTAGCCCTCTGCCATTCTTCCTTTGGTTCATCCCTCCCTCTTCCTCTTCACATAGTCAAATCCCCCTGGTTTATGACAGCTTCAATTCTAAATGTTTACTGGGCATATTTTCTATGTATTAAGTCATGTTAGGCCCTGAGTTATGACATTGAATAAAAAGAATATGGTCCATAACTTTATATAGTTTGCTTTTAAGAAAGATAGGTGTTAAACAAGCAATTAAAATATAAGTGCTACAAAAATAAAAGAATGGAGTGCTGTGGGCATGAGTATCAAGAAGTTGAAACCCTATTTGGGGGTTGGGACAGAAGTATTTGAAACTCATATGATGAATAGGATTTGGCGAGGCATAGAATGGGAAAGAGTATGTTAGGCTCAGAGATAATGAGAGGGTTGAGTTTTCGAAGGGCTGAAAGTGGTCAACTGGAAGGACTTGTGAAAGTGAAATGGATATTGAAGAGGAGGCCAGCAGCAGATCACAGAATTGTCTCTAAGATTTGCTAGGAAGTTTAGATCTTTTTTTTCTATGGCTATTGAAAGCCAATGAAAGGTCGTGGACAGGAGGTTAGGATGTTCTTTCTGTCCCCTGTCCACATTGCAGCTCTTCATGTACTGTACTTGAAAACATGTATTATACCTTCTTTCTTTCTTTTTTTTTTTTTTTTTTTTTTGACAGGCAGAGTTAGACAGTGAGAGAAAGAGAGACAGAGAGAAAGGTCTTCCTTTGCCGTTGGTTCACCCCAAAAATGGCCCCTAAGGCCGGCGTGCTGCACCGATCCGAAGCCAGGAGCCAGGCGCTTCCTCCAGGTCTCCCATGCGGGTGCAGGGCCCAAGCACTTGGGCCATCCTCCTCTGCCTTCCTGGCAGAGAGCTGGACTGGAAGAGGAACAACTGGGACAGAATCTGGCACCCCAACTGGGACTAGAACCCAGGGTGCCAGCGCTGCAGGCGGAGGATTAGCCAAGTGAGCCACAGCGCCAGCCTAATCCTTCTTTCTAAGTCTCACTTCTCCACAACCAGCATTCCAAGTTTCCACAACAATTTTCTATGGCATGAAGGGCACGCAAAAATAGAGTAACAGTTTTATTTGCATCAAATGTGTCACTACTCTAAGGTTGGAATCCCAGAATTGCCACATAACTACAGAAATCAAATTCTCAACTGCAACAGGAATTAAATAAAAACTACAGCATTGAACAAATGCATTACTATACCTTCTTGGTCTCTGAAGATAAACTAGTAAGCTGTTATGGTTTGATTATTGTCCCCCCTTCAACTCCTGAAGAAGTTTAGTCCCCAAAGCTTTAGCTTAGTGGCACTAAGAGGGTGCAACCTTAATCCAATTATGGTGATTGGAACTGGGGCCTTAGGAAAGTGAAAAGATTGCATTAGGTTTTTAGGGGGAAGCCCCATGATTTTATCCTGGTGGCTTTATAAGGAAAGAGAAACCACATGGATAAACACTAACCTGCAACCCTGCTATGATGTGATGCAGCCAACAATTACCCTCACCAAAGCCTGTATGAGGCTGTTTGGACCTGGAGCTTCCAGAACCAAAAGCCAAAATAAGCCTTTTTTCTGCATAAAGAAGCCTGCCTCATGTATTTTGTTATGGCAACAAAGAGCTGACTAACATAAACGCAACAGGATCACTGGAGAGTGTAATATAAGTAATAACTGCCTTCAGCTGGCCATTAGGGTTCATTCCTTCCATTTTCTTGCAGAAACATCATAATTATGTCTTCTCTTGATTTCGGAGGTAACAGTACATCATCCAAACATTTTTCATGCAAACTATTACCAAGAAAAACAGATCCCAGCCATGAGCGTTTCATTCCACAGCAGGGTTCAAGTCCAGGTACTGACTCGTGACTCCAGCTTCCTGCCAATGCGATCTTAGGTGGCAGTGGTGATGGGTCAAGCAAGTGGATCTCTGCTGCCCATGTGGGAGGCCTAGATTTAGCTCCTGGTTCCTGACTTTGATCTCAACTCAGCCCCAGATGTTGCAAGCATTTGGGAAGTGAACTAGCGGATAGGAGTGAACTTGTGCTCTCATTCTCTTTCTCTCTGCCTCTCAAATAATAATAATAAAATATAGACCCTAACATGGTATGCATGTGTTATTTGTGTTTAGTACTTCAGAAACATTTTTCTGAGTTGCCAAGACGACGTTTTACCTTTTAAAAGATGTGCATGCCCTCCATATGTGGTGTTTGATTTGTCTCCTTTGAGGTTTCCTTCCTTCACCCCTTCCCCCCTCCCTTCTTTTCTTCCTCCTGAATATAGAATATACAATCCCTGGGACTAGGGACATAGGGCTAAGAGTCAAACAACTGAAAAATCTTAGGTTGCAAAATCTTTGAAAATCCAAATTTTACTACTCAGTATATTTCCCATTCCTTACCATTGGGACACAAAGGCTTACTTTCTGTTTATAATGAGTAATAGATTTAAAAAGAATTGCGCAAGGCAAGGGCAGTTACTGCAGAGCTTGGTTGCAAATTAGCACGTACTGTGGGTGAAACTGTTTAAATAGCTACAAATATATGTAAATGCCACTTCCTCCCTTGCTTTCAAGGTTCTTCACAATTTAATTTAATTCTTAAAACTATTGAGCATATTTAAATACAAGTTGCATTGTTCTGGATACTGCAGAGGATACAGAGATGCGCAATATAGAGCCCCTGGTCTTAATTTATAATTCCAGAAGAAAAAAAAATCAACAATTCTCTTTTAACATAGTCTCAGAATAAATTTAAATAAAAATCAACATTGAAGGTATTGAAAGGAAACTAAACTACCCTTCTTGCCATGATGTCCCAAATAAGTGAAGGCCAGGTACTGGAACTGCTGACAAAATGAACTGGCTGCTACTAAATGAAAATTTTAGTGTGTAAGTTTCAATAACACTTCAATCTGTAAATAAGTATTATTTAAAGATTCATTTATTTATTTGAAAGAGTTTCAGAGAGACAGAGAGACATAAAAGACAGAGATCTTCCATCCACTGGTTCACTCTCCAGATGGCCACAATGTCTAGGGCTAGGCCAGGCCAAAACCATGAGCCAGGAGCCAGGAGCTTCATCCAGGTCTCCCACATGGGTGGCAGGGGCCCAGATACTTGAGCTATCTTCTGATACTTTTCCCAGGCCATTAGCAGGGAGCTAGATCAGAAGTGGAGCAGCTGAGACTTGAATTGGCACCCACATAGGAGGCAGGCATGGCAGGCCGTGGCTTTACCTGCTATACCACAACGCTGGCCCCAAGTATTTTAGCTTTCTGCTTCTGTCACAAACTGCCAGAAATGGAGTAGTTTAACTACCCCCCAGTTATTATCTCCCAGTTGTGTGGTCACAAGTTGAGGCCCAGTGTGACTGAGCTTGCTCTCTATTTACATACAGTCTCACAAGGTTGAAACCAAGATGTTAATGCTAGCTTCACTCCTGGAAGCTCTGAGGATGAATTTATGTGCTACAATCTGAATAGGATTTGTCCCTCTGAATTCACACAGGAGTTTAATCTCCAAAGACTGAAGTTAGCGGTAGTTAGAGAGTGAAAAGTTAACCTGACTAAGGTATTTAGAGGAGGGGCCTTTGGGGAGTGATTAGATTAGGAGTCAGGTTAGGAGCCCATGACTCAATCTTGGTGGCTCAAAAGGAGAGGGCAAGAGACCACACAGACTTAGGCAGACATGAGTGCTCCCGGTGTTTTGCCATGTCGTCCTCTGCACCACACCACTTCTGGACTCTGCTGGCCAGAAGGCCACCACTAGATGAGGCCCCTAGACTCTGCACCTCCGGAATCATGAGCCAAAACAGACCTCTATTCTTTATTTAGTCAGTTTGCCTGAGGGATTTCATTTTAGTAAAGAAAAGGCTAACTAATATATTACTTCTGGGCTTGTTCTGGTTGCTGGCAGAATTCGGTTCTTTGTGCTTGTAGTACTGGGGTCCGTGTTTTCTTCCTGGTTACCATCTAAAAGTCATTCTAAACTGCAAGAGGCCTCCTGCATTCCCTAATTCATGGCTCCCTTTAAAGAAAGGAACGGCAGGGCAAACACCTCTCAAATACTCTAATCCCATAGTTCTCTTTCCTGCTTCCTACCAATTGTAAGCTTCAGGTGATTACTTTCTACCTTTTAACCTTCTTCCTCCTAAGTACATTTATCTTTAATAAACCATCACTGAAGGCCGGCGCCGCGGCTCACTAGGCTAATCCTCCGCCTGCGGCGCCGGCACACAGGGTTCTAGTCCCAGTCGGGGCACCGGATTCTGTCCCGGTTGCTCCTCTTCCAGTCCAACTCTCTGCTGTGGCCTGGGAGTGCAGTGGAGGATGGCCCAAGTCCTTGGGCCCTACACCCGCATGGAAGACCAGGAGGAAGCACCTGGCTCCTGGCTTCTGATCAGCGCGGTGCACTTGCCGCATCGCGCCGGCTGCAGCAGCCACTGGGGGGTGAACCAACGGAAAAAAGGAAGACCTCTCTCTCTCACTGTCCACTCTGCCTGTCAAAAAAAAAAAAAAAATACCATCACTGAGTGCTAACTGTTTATAGATTTGAAAGCAGTCAGAGCAGGAATGGTAAAAAAGAAAAGAAAACAAAAGGCCCTCCTGTAATGTGGAACGTCTTCTTAGCCTACCTGGGAAACCGACTGAGCTAAAAAGCAAAGGGTGATAATAAGAGACATAAAGAATTTCACTGATTTAGTTAGAAAGCAGGCTCTGGTGCCGAGGTCACCCAGAAGGTCAGGTGGCTGGAGTAGTTTGACCACTCTCGGGAGTATGGTGAAGACAAACAGCTCCCCGCTAACATGCCCCAGGACAGAAATTTTTCTCCGCCCTGTCAAAGTCACAATTAAATTGGAGGAAGGGGAGATGAGAAGCCAGGATGAGCTCACCATGCACACAAGAAACGTTGTTCTTAAAGGACCTTGTACAAACTTTTGAACCAGCATAAAACCCCCAGGTCACCTCCCTTCAGTGGCTTTTTCCTTCTGAAGAAGCCCCTCCTGGCTGCTTTCCTGGGAACTTTCCCTCCGCCCTTTCAATCTCTGCTCTTTTCAATAAAAGTTTTTTGTTAAAAATAGCCTTCTGGTTTTGTTCATCTGCTTCATACTTCGTTGCAGACAGAACAAGTGCCTGGAGTTTAAATCAGCTGTAACAGATTCTATTAAAAAGAGCCCACAAGATGCAATGAATGTATTCATAAGATAATTATGAGGTAGGATAAAAAAAAATTATGATGGCCCCTGAAGCATTCTGTAAACAAAGGAGTTGAACCACAACGAAAGGTAAATTGGTGACAAGACGAAAGCACCACACTTTATTCTGTGCTGTCATAAAAAATATGCTCCTCAAATGGTTAACACCACCATACAATAAAGTTTAATATCACACACTCAGGGGCAGGCATTTGACCTAGGACTTAAGATGCTAGTTGAGATGCCTGTGTTCCCATATCAGGGTTCCTGGATTTGAGTTCCAGCTCAGCTCTTGATTCCAACTTCCTGCTAATGCAGACCATGGGAGACAGCGGTGATGGCTCAAGTTGTCCTATTCCTGCCACCCACATGGGAGATTCTGCGTTCCCAGCTCCCGGCTTTGGCTGGGCCTAGCCCCCCGTTATGCAGGCACTGAGGGAGTAACCCAGTAAATAAAAGCTCTCTATATTTCTCCCAAATAAAAAATTTTTTTTAAATTTTTTATTAATATCACAAACTAAGTTAATGTCAGATTTTGTACAATGTGGATGAAAATATTGGAACCCAAGGAATTTGCCTGTATTATGAGCTAGCAATATGGGACAATCTGTGAATATTGGAGCCTATACTTGGCTGTTCTAGGTTATAAGGGTGACTGAAGAACCTGTAAAAGCAGTTGAGGTCAGGCAAAAAATGCTTCTAGTCTCCTGGAAATTATCAGTGTAGTTGGTAAGATGGAATAAAAGGTTTTATGTTCAATTCTTTAGAACAAAGGGATGAGAAAGTTGCAAGGTAACCTAATGGGACTTTGGAACCAGAGAAAAGACTTCCCAGTTGGCCAAGAAACAAGTTCCTGAACCTCTTAGTCCTTAAATATAAAGGAGGTAATGTTGCAATTTAGAGTCACTTATAAAGCTGTTAAAAATATTATTAATAGGATTCTATTCCCCCAGATAATTCTCTTATACAGTCAGGCATAGCTTTTTTTTTTTTTTTTTTTTTTTTTTTTTTTTTTTTTTTTGACAGGCAGAGTGGACAGTGAGAGAGAGAGACAGAGAGAAAGGTCTTCCTTTGCCGTTGGTTCACCCTCCAATGGCCGCACGCCCAGCGCTGCGGCCAGCGCACTGCGCTGATCCGATGGCAGGAGCCAGGAGCCAGGTGCTTTTCCTGGTCTCCCATGGGGTGTAGGGCCCAAGCACTTGGCCCATCCTCCACTGCACTCCCTGGCCACAGCAGAGAGCTGGCCTGGAAGAGGGGCAACCAGGACAGAAATCCGGCGCCCCCGACCAGGACTAGAACCCGTGTGCCGGTGCCCCTAAGGGGGAGGATATAGCCTAGGAACCGGCGGGCCCGGCCCAGCCAGGCATAGCTTTAAAAAACAACGTTCAGAACCATGTAAAATACCCAGTCACTAACCTCAAAAACGGCCATTGTTTCCTAACAATCCGCTTACTAGATAGTTAGTCTCTTTAATACAGGTGGGCTCAATAAATAGGATCATGGAATCCTGACAGCTGAAAGAGATCTTAACTAGTCCAATTTCCCAGCCAATACAGTCTACCTATCCACAATCCAGTTCCATGACAGTGGTCTGATGTGTTGGCCAGCTGAGAACAGAGCTAGAGTCAGTCTGATCATTTTAAATCCTGGCTTTTCCTCTTCCTAGTCGTGAGGTGTTAAACAAGCATTTGACCCCTCTGTGTCTTAGTACTCTCATCTTTAAAATGCAGTGCCACCTGCATAAGGTTGTTCTGAGATCTTAGTGAGCCATTACACTAAAGCTTTAACAGTTACCAGACATAGGCACTCAATATGTAAAATGGTTAAAGAAATGGGTGTAGTAACATAGTCCTGAACTAATGAAAGACCACTTCAAGAGATGCTCAACCCTGGGGCCAGCGCTGTGGCATAATGGGTAAAGCCGCTGCCTGCAGTGCTGGCATCCCATATGGGCACCGGTTGGAGACCCGGCAGCTCCACTTCTGATCCAGCTCTCTGCTATGGCCTGGGAAAGCAGTGGAAGATGGCCGAGGTCCTTGGGCCCCTGAGCCCACGTGGGAAACCAGGAGGAAGCTCCTGGCTCCTGGCTTCAGATTGGCGCAGCTCTGGTCGTTGTAGCCAATTGGGGAGTGAACCAGCGGATGAAAGAGCTCTCTACCTCTCTCTCTCTCCCTCTCTCTCTCTCTCTCTCTGCCTCTCCTTCTCTCTGTGTGTAACTCTGACTTTCAAGTAAAAATTAAAAAAAAAAAATCTTAAAAAAAAAAGAGAGAGAGATGCTCAATCAGGTTCAATTTAAACTTCAGAGAAGGGGCTGGCATTGTGGCTCAGGGGGTTAAATTGCTGCCTGCAATGCTGGCATCTCATATGAGTGCTGGTTTGTTGCTCTGCTTCCCTCCAGGTCCCTATTAATGTGTGTGAGAAAGCAGAAGAAGAAGGGACAAGTGCTTGAGTTCCTGCAATCCATGTTGGGGACCTGTTCCAGACTCCGGGATTCAGCCTGGTATAGCCCTGTTCATTGAGGTCATTTGGGGACTGAACCAGCAGATGGAAGATCTCACTCTCTCTGTTTCTCCCCACACCCTCTGTAACTCTACCTTTCAAATAAATAAATCTTTTAAAAAATGGGTAAAAGGTGATCACATTCTGCTAATACTCAGTTCTAGCTCTTAGTACATTTCATATTAGGCTGAAATCTGCCTCCCTGCAACTGGTATTTGTTCTTTCTTCTAGGAATCCATAGATTCACAATCATGCAAATAATTGTAGCTGGCTTTCATTTCTCCCCAGATCTGCTCTTTTCCCTGTGACAGCATCTCAATTCTTTTATTACTCAAAAATTCTTACTCTAATGCTTCCACCATCCTATTAGCTCAAGAAGTTAATTCCCAATACATCATACGTCCCTCCAAATTTTCTATCTTCCTTGTAAAATTTGATCACCTTCCAGAAGACAGGAACTATCATTTCACCTTTTGGGGACAATATAACATTACTTTTAGGAATTCTAAGATTACATTATCTTGGGAGGAAGACAAACAGGATTATTATACGCTGGCTTATCACTGTTTGTTCCCAACTAGAATGACTCAACATTACTTGTATGTTATAAACAATGTCCTACCTTACACAACTCAACTAGCTATGTTTGGGATTTAATTTTCAGAATGATCATAAATCTTTTTATTAAGTTCAGGTTTATTCATTCAGGTTTATTGATTCAGCTTATGAGCAACTGTTTTAATCACCTCATTAAATAGATTCTTCAGTTTTGAATCAACCCTAAGAACGTACAAAAAGAAAAAAAAATAGTACACAGTGATGCAGAGGAGTGTGCTGCTACAGTGCTCCCCACTCCCCACCCCCCACCCTGATTCACTCTCATAAGCTCACTCAGCCTCAGCAGTGTGCCAGAGGCGGACAAAAGACTCACAGCAGTTGATACACACACAAAACAGACTCTCAGCTTTTACTCTGCAATGTGAAACACAACTGTGGAGGGCACAATAGTCTGTGGGGTTTTTTGTTTGTTTAAAGTGTACATGTTTCAAGCACAGTTCTAAGAAGTTCTACATATATTATCTCATTTAATTCTGAGGACAACACTATGAGATAGATATTATTTATTATTCTCCAGGTCAGAAAGTACCCATTACTCTTTGAAGCCTCCCCCTCTAATTGGCCGATTTCCAAGTCTCCCTACCCAATGTGCAGTTCCTAAGCTTTTGGACAAACCCCTTCCCTTCTGTTCCCGCTGTCTCCACCACAGGCTGGCACTCACCGTGCCTCACATGCACCATTACCACAGCCTTCCGATTGGTCTCATATTTTGTTTTTCCTTCTCCAATCCATGTTATACACTGCCTCTTGCATTTCAAAAACACAATTCTTAATGTGCCACTCTTGTTTCAAACCTTGAATGGCTCCTCATTGCCCTTAAATACGAATTCAGATTTCCTGGCATGGCCACAAGGTCATGAGCTGTAGCTCATCTCCTGTCACTCTCTCGCCTAGTACTTCCTTAGTTCCTTCTCCAAAGTCTCATCCGTAAGCTCTCCAGACAACTGTGGGTTGACTGGAACCCTGCGTACCTGTGTGCTACTACGTCTTTGTCTATTCATTCAATATTGTGCATTATGTGTCCTGCATGTGCTACCCACTTGCCTGTTTATTTAACTATCCTATTTAATTCTAACAAGAACCCAGTGAGGTAAGGATTGCCATCTTCCTTTTCAGAGAAGAGGAAACTGAACTGCAGAGGGGCCAGCTGCAGCTAAGTGAGAGGCAGGTGGCTCTACCTGACCCCAGAGCCCAGCCCCTTTCGCAGCTCTGCCTCAGCCCCGTCCAGTCCCTCGGGTGTGGGAATGGGCTGCAAACTTACCTCAGGTACCGCCTGTGGCAGCCTGTTTGGAGTCTTAGAATCCGCCTCCAGCCTCCGTTTACTGCGGTCGCCAGGGCAACGCCACCCGGCTTCCGGGCGGGCCTTAAGGCGCATGCGTAGGCCGGACCGGTTACCCAGAGACCCCGCGCGGAGCCCCCCGGGAAGGCCCGTTCTACCCGCCCTGTGGTCCGGGCGCTTTTGCTCCCTGGCTGAGGTACAAACCGGGACAGGAACGTCCAGCATTCTGGCATCTTATTAGCCCCTCGGCATGAAGGGTGGCACGCTGATAGTTAAGTGACTTAGGAACATTTTCAAAGATTCCTATTCAGTATTCCAGAACAGCCTTAACAGAGCCGAACAACGGGCCATTTTTGTGTTTTCCGAGGTAACGTTTACCTAATTAAAAATAGAAGGGTCGTAGGAGAGGGGAGGCAGCTTGTCAGCACCATTAACAACAAGGATGGCTGTCTCGCGAGTTTTTCGTTTTTGAGCTCTGTTGGCTTTGGCGAGTAAATAGGGTTTGTATTGTGGGCTCTGTGGCCCCAGACACTAGGTGCATACACAGTACACGCCCACCTCCGCCAGTTTCTAGGTGTAGCAGTTTGCTTTTCAACCGCTGTGTGCTCCAAAGCTCATCTCGATTTTTAAGCACCTAATGCTACTTGATTACAAAACATTTTTAAATGGTCAGTAGCCGGGTGGAAAGATGCTTACCAGCAGTTACGGAGAGGCAAACAGCAATGCACACCACTCCACGTGCACTGGAGTGGGTAAAGTCAGATTGCCCACACTACACGTGCAAGGGAGGGGAGCAAAAGAACTCCTACAAGGGTATTGGGGGTGGAACACGGCATGTGCACTTTGGAAAAACTGGCAGCTTGTTAAGAGTTAACACCAGGGGCCGGTCTTGTAGCATAGGGGTTAAGCCACTGCCTGCCATGCAGCCAGTGTTTCAAGTCCTGGCTACTCTACTGATCCAGCTCCCTGCTAAGGCGCCTGGGAAAACAGCAGAAGATGGCGCAGGTGCTTGGGACCCTGAATCCCCGTGGGAGACTTGGAAGCTCCTGACTTCTACCTAGCTCAGCCCCAGCTGTCGGGGCAATTTGGGGTGTGTGAACCACAGATGAAAGACCTCTATCTAGCCATAACTCTGCCTTTCAAGTAAATAAAATAAACCTTAAAGAAAAAATGTCCCAATAATTTCATAGTTGTTAAAAAAATTAATACTAGGCTATTCCACATCCAAGGTATTTACCCAAGAGAAGTAAAATCTTATGCATCTAAAAGGTTATAAAACAGTGGAGAAACTTTTAAATGGCATGTTAGTTTGAAGTAATATGGGTAACATGTTTTCTTTCATCCTCAAACATCGTCTCAGTTTACAGCAGTAGCCCACTTGTCAATCCGAGTAAAATATGAATAAATTTATTAAAGTGTCAAATCCTCCAACAGGGAAAGTGGTGTATTTATATCTACACACACCCCCAAAATGCCTTTGTATAAATGTTCTTTGCAGCTTTATTCACAGTTCCTCAAAACTGAAAATAATAATGATCACTGACAGATGAATGGATAAACACCCATAGAGGCCACTACTCACAGATTAAAATGGAAGAGATATACACTACATAGATGATTCTTAGTCACGGTGAGTGAAAGAAGCCAAACACAAAACAGTACAGTGCAAGATGCCATGTATATAAAATGAAAACAAATCAACAGTGACAATATCTGTGCTTGCCTAAGACTGGAACAAAAGGAGGGAAACCCTGCAAAGAAACACAAGGAGATGTGTTTTTAGAGATGACAGGACTGTCATTTCTTAATTTTGGAGGCAGTTTCATGATTAGGTACAAAGCCAACTGCCAAAAGTCAATGTATTTTTCATGTAATATAAATTGTATTTAATCTATTGTATATCATTTCTCAAAATGGCTGTTTGTTGGTTTCCATGTTAACATAGTAATTTTCCAAAAAATTTTACCACACATTTGTTGGTAATACTGAAATATTCTCTTTACTCAAGTATTCTATAGGGCCAAAAAATAGACCACTTTTTCTATTAATTATTAAATGGTATAATGAGGGTACCTGAAAAGTTTAAAAACATGGGACAAACTTACTTTTAAATAGCATGTTAGTTGAAGTAATGGGTGTGAGATATTTTCTTTCAATCTCCAAACTTTTCAGGTGAAATAACTCTGAATTTACAGCAGTTGATTCAATTGTTAACCTAATTAAAATATTAATAAATTTATTAAACAATGCTTAAAAATTAGGAAACAGGGAAAATGATATATTTATTTGTACACAAAAGTTGATAGCCATCACTGCAGAATGTTCATTGAGGCCTTGTTCTCAGCACATTCGTAGATACCTGCTTTTTTTTAATCCTCACGAGCCTCTAAGGAAGACACATCATCTCTGGCTGAGGTGGGAACGATGAAACTTGCCCGAGGTAAACAGCCCAAGTGGCAGACATGCCATTTGAATCCAGGCTTTCTAGGTGTACTACTTGGACCCTTAGCCCTTATGCTTATCTTAGTTCTCACAGACTGGAAGTCCAGTAATTACAAGAAGAGTATCAATGCCTGGCTTTGCCTCTTACAAGCACTCTTGACAAACTTACTCACCTCACCAACTTACCTCTAGGCTGTTCCTCTACTGCAAGGGCTTTTTTGTTGTTGTTGTTGTTGTTGCCTTTTTTTTTTTTTTTTTTTTGGTTGGGGGGAAGGTGCATTTAAATACCCCTAATTTGTAGTCTACCGTGTAATTTAAGTGAGATAATGGTGATACTGTGGTCACAGTAATGGCTCCATAAGGGATACCTTCTATGCTGCCTCTAAGATACACTTACTTGACATCAAGATGCAGCGAAGCACAGGCTTTGGAGAAAAAGTTTTTATTCTCATCCTAATGCCACCACACCCTATTTGTGTGACCCTGAGAAAGTACTTAACCTTCTTGTATCTGTTTCCTCATCTGCAAAATTAGAATAAAACCTACCTCCTAACAGGTGTTGTGAGTTATGGGAAGTAGATAGTGTCCAGCAGTTAGTAAACAATAAAGCTATTAAATTCTGCTAACCCAAATTTACTGTAAAGGAATGGTTATAACTGTGGATTCAATGATCAATTTCGTTCTCTCCTAAGCTGTCATCTGGAAAACTAAATTTTATTAAATTTAAGCAAATTACTGGCCTTTGGGGGCATACTGGAAAGGTCATATATTTTCTAAAAGTTTGAGTCTAAACACAAACTAAAGTAATGTTTGAGTTGTTCAAAATTAATATAGGGGCAAGCATTGTGGCACAGATGTTGGGCTACTCCACATCCCATATAAGCACAGGTTCAAATCCTGGCAGCTATACTTCTAATCCTGCTCCCTGCTAATATGCCTGGGAAGACAACGGAAGCTGGTTTGAGTTATTGGGCCCCTGCCCCCAATGTAAGAAACCCAGTTAGAGTTCCATGCTCCTGGCCTTAGCCTGGCCCAGCCCTAGCTATTTGTGGAGTGAACCAGTAGACTGAAGGGTGAGCTCTCTCTCTAACTCACGTTTCAAGTAAGTAAACTTTTTTTTTTTTTTTTTTGACAGGCAGAGTGGACAGTGAGAGAGAGAGAGACAAAGGTCTTCCTTTGCCATTGGTTCACCCTCCAATGGCCGCTGCGGCTGGTGCGCTGCGGCCGGCGCACCGCGCTGATCCGAAAGCAGGAGCCAGGTACTTCTCCTGGTCTCCCATGGGATGCAGGGCCCAAGCACTTGGGCCATCCTCCACTGCACTCCCAGGCCATAGCAGAGAGCTGGCCTGGAAGAGGGGCAACCGGGACAGAATCCGGCGCCCCGACCGGGACTAGAACCCGGTGTGCCAGTGCTGCAAGGCGGAGGATTAGCCTAGTGAGTCGTGGTGCCGGCTGTAAACGTTTTTTTAAAAGTCAATATAAATATAGTACATCACAATCAAATACTAGTAGAGCAGAGTTCACACAGGTGCAATGCTATAGATCAACAGCATGCATCAGAATCACCTGAAGGGCTTATTAAATCAGACATTAATTTCTGATTTAGTAGGTCTCAGGAAAGGCCCAAGAATTTTCATGTTTTTAAATTGTCTTTAACCTTTTAGTTTTTTTTTTATATATTTATTTATTCATTTATTTGAGTCAGAGTTACACAGAGAGAGGCAGAGAGGCAGAGAGAGAGAGAGAGAGAGATCATCTATACACTGATTCACTCCCTAGTTGGCCGCAACAGCCAGAGCTGTGCTGATCCAAAGCCAGGAGCCAGGAGCTTCTTCCGGGTCTCCCATGTGGGTGCAGGGGCCCAAGGGTTTAGGCCATCTTCTACTGCTTTCCCAGGCCACAGCAAAGAGCTGGGTTAGAGGAAGAGCAGCTGGGACTTGAAACGGCACCCATATGGGATGCTGGCACTGCAGGCAGTGGCTTTACCCACTATGCCACAGCCCAGGCCTCAAATTTTCATTTCTAACAAGTACCCAAGTTATGCTACTGGTCAGTGTTAATACTTCGAAACCCACCGATGCAGAAGAGTCTGAAAAGTGATAAATAGCCGCCAAGGAGGTGTTGGTCAAAGGATATAAAATCTCAGTTAGATAGGAGGAATAAGTTAAAAAAGATCTATTGTACACAACATGGTACCTACAATTAATACTACATTGGGGCCAGAGCTGTGGCGTAGCAGGTAAAGCTACCACCTGCAGTACCAGCATCCCCTATGGGTGCCAGTTCAGGTCCCGGCTTCTCCACTTCCGATCCAGCTCTCTGCTATGGCCTGGGAAAGCAGTAGAAGATGGCCAAGTCCTTGGGCCCCTGCACCCAAGTGGGAGACCTGGAAGAAGCTCCCGGCTCCTGGCTTCAGATCAGCACAGCTCCATCCATTGTGGCCATTTGGGGAGTGAACCAGCAGATGGAAGACCTCTCTTTCTTTCTGGCTCTACCTCTCTTTGTGTAACTCTTTCAAGTAAACAAATAAATCTTAAAAAAAATACTATATTGTGTAGTTGAAAAATACTAAGATAGTGGATGTAAAGTGCTCTTACCATGAAAACGATCTAATGTGAGAGTATGTATGCTAATTAGCTAGATTTAGTCATTCCACAATGTATATATACTTCAAAACATCATGCTATATATGGTAAACATAATTTTGTCAATTAAAAGAGGTCCCATGATAATTTAACTATTAATTAAAATCAAATGTGCATTAATTTATGATTTGGTGGTGACAAATATCTTTATTAAGATTTGCTGTATACTAGAATCATCAGTGGTGTTTTTTTTTTTTTTTTTTTTTTTGACAGGCAGAGTGGACAGTGAGAGAGGTAGAGACAGAGAGAAAGGTCTTCCTTTGCCATTGGTTCACCCTCCAGTGGCTGCTGCGGCCGGCGCACCACACAGATCCGAAGCCAGGAGCCATGCGGTGCAGGGCCCAAGGACCTGGGCCATCCTCCACTGCACTCCCGGGCCACAGCAGAGAGCTGGACTGGAAGAGGGGCAACCAGGACAGAATCCAGCGTCCCAACTGGGACTAGAACCCAGTGTGCTGGCGCCACAGGCAGAGGATTAGCCTATTGAGCCATGGTGCCGGCCCACTGGTGGCTTTTTAAAATGTGGGTATCTGTGGCCTGCCAGAAGAAATTCCAATCTAATTGGACTAGGGTAGGATTTGGGCATTAAGAATTTTAAAAGACCTTCATATCACTCTAATGGCAGCCACAATGAAGAAGTACAGCTTTAGAAGCCTTAAGAAAGAAAAAGCTCTTTTCTTGTTATCAACTGAAATGATAAGAGTCTGGTTGAAAAATCAAAGTTAAAATTTATTCAGCTAGTCAAACTGAGGAGCTCAACCCAGAAACAATTAGTTGCCTGAGCTGGCCTTTCTGCAAGTCTGAATCTGGTTACAGGTTTTATACTTTTCCTACAGAATGAGTTCAGTGAACTAGGTTTAAAACAATACAGGGGCTGGCGCCGTGGCTCACTAGGCTAATCCTCCACTTGCAGCGCCAGCACCCCGGGTTTTAGTCCTGTTTGGGGCACCAGATTCTGTCCAGGTTGCTCCTCTTCCAGTCCAGCTCTCTGCTGTGGCCCAGGAGTGCAGTGGAGGATGGTCCAGGTCCTTGGGCCCTGCACCCACATGGGAGACCAGGAGGAAGCACCTGGCTCCTGGCTTCGGATGGGTGCAGCCACTTGGGGGGGGTGAACCAACGAAAAAGGGAGACCTTTCTCTCTCTCTCTCTCTCTCTAACTCTGCCTGTCAAAAATAAAAAATTAAAAAAAAATACAGATTTATGTCTGGTCATCAGCCATATTGAAGAACACTTGTTAATAACAGACTTGATTATTGATTACATCCCCACATTCCTTCCCACACTGGATATTATCTATATGCACAGAAAGACAATCAGTGGGGTCACTGATCACTTTTTCTACCACGGCCCTGACATTAAAACTCATTTCTTCTTGAATTACAGCAGATGTTTCATTGCTCATGATGAGGTTTCTTGAAAGATCATGTTACCTGGCAACTAATTAAAGGGGGTGTCACAGTATCTTGGCTGACTTAGGCCTCTGCAGTCACCATTTGTTTCAGTCCACATTTTCATCTGTTGTTCATGGAGTTTTTTTCAGTCTACCTTTGTATTTTAGCAACATAAGCTAACGATAACAGGGTGGACACTTACATGCCAATTCCACAGATCACCAGTGAGCTTGTGGTTAAGGTTTCCTGCAATAGTTTTCAACCCCGCTGCACAATATAATCACCTGAGGAGTTTTCAAAAATATTCTGCCAAAAGTTCACCTTTAAGGTAGTTATTTGGTATTTTTTAAATGTTCCCTAAGTTGATATTCATGATGTTTGAGACTTAAAGGAATGTAAGAAAAAAAAAATGAAGAATCAACCAGTTGGGAAAATAGTAAGGAATATGTGTATCAAAAGAATAATTCACAAATCAAGCAGGTAATGACATTTTGGGGAGGAAAAACGTTCCTGTTCAATATATTAAATAACAAGTTAAAAAGTGCAGTATAGTTGGAAGATTCCACCATAACACAAATGAATACAGAGATATCACATAAATAAAATCATGACACAAAAAAATAATTTTATTTTTGCCACCAAAATAATAAAGAGGCCTAAATGCAAGTATGGGACAGTGATTTACATGGCAAGGGCAAGGAAGGTGTTGTCTGAAAAAGTTCTCCAGGTAGTCTTAGGGTGTTATGCTACTCCACTCTGATCTCAACCACATGAAAAATCCCATCATACAGCCAACGTACTGTGATCATTCAAAAAGCAGGCTGACAACAGAAACAAATGCTTGAGAACTAAACAGGTACCTTGAAGGAAATCCTACTCTAAATTAATCTTCTTAAAACCTGAGAAAACTGATACAAGTTTCTGTATTAATTACGCTTCAAACACTACACTCTTAAATTGATGTTACTGCATTTAGACATTGGAGCTCTATGATCATTATTTATTTGACATACATTACCATTAACGATGACATTTTCACATTTAAAAACTAAAAACACCTAAAAATCTCAAAACTTATACAACCTCTCTTAGCTGTTTAAACAAATATCCCCACGCCTATTTCTTAAAGCTGTACATTCCACTTGAAGGAAAAAATGATGGACAGCAGTGACTCCCCAACAAAGAAGAAACCACAAGAGGATGTGACATTTTTCTGCATGCCTGACTCCAATCACACATGAGCATTTTATTTTAAGTTGTATGCAAAAACAACTTAGTTCTTCAGAGGTAAGGGAAATGAAACAGATCAACATTTAAGATACATTAGTAAAAAAAAAAACAAACCCTAATTAAACATAAAGATGCATTACTCAAAACACTTAAAATACTTAAGAAATTATTAGCATATTAAAACTTTCATTTTCCTATAGTAAAAACTTTTATTCACAAGGAATTATAGGTTGTTTGCTTACTATAAAGGTAAAAAAATTAAAATAATTGCTTTTTTGGGGTCTGCTTCATCAGCACTAATTCACAGGTTTTTGGTAGGTTTTATCCAAAAGAATGTAAAAGCTTTATAAAGCAGGAACAGGGAGAGGGGAGTAAAAGTCAAGAACAAATTACAACACATTTGGTAAAACTCCACTTCACTTATGACACATGTGTAGAAAGGGCAAACCAGCCTTCTTCATTTTGTTTCTCAATCTGTTGAATAAAGATTCAGAAACAATTTAGAAGGTAAACAGAAAAAGGAGACCACCCATGATTAACAGATCACTTAGACCAAGTACATGCAACAGTCATCCTATGTCACTGAATGATACTGGAAATTAAAATACTACCAGCAATGTTTGTTTTCTGACAGACATTACTAAATAACTTGTCAACAGATTCCCTTATGAAGAATCCCTATATTTTTTAAAGATTTGTTTTATTTATTTGAAATTCACAAGTCACAGTTCCATAGAGAGAGAGAGAGAAACTTCCATTTGCTGGTTTATTCCCCAAGTGGCTACAACAGCCATGGCTGAGCTAGGTAGAAGCCAGGAGCCAGGAGCTTCACCCAAGTCTCCCAAGTGGATAGCATTTGGGCAATCTTCCACTGCTTTTCCTAGGCCATTAGCTGGATCAGAAGGAGACCATCAAGGATATGAACCAGTACCCATAGGGGATGCCAGCATTGTAGGCAGCAGCTTTACCCACTGTGCCACAACACCGGCCCGAAGAGTCTAATATTTTTAAAAATGATAAATTCAATGCTCCATATAAATCAAAATTGTTTACCTTAGTAAGTTAAATGCTACTAAGTCCCAGGAAATAAACGTAAATTATATAATATGGCTTACTTTAAAGTTTTTTTAGAATATAAGAAATAGCAAAGGAAAAATCTAGTGATGAGTAACTGGATACCTAATTCTATCAAACAATTAGGGCTATAAAAGACTTTCTTTTTGGTCTAACTACTGGTTAGTAATAAGAATAGCAAAGATTCTCCCCAGATCAAAGTCCACAAAAGTAATTTTTGTTAAAGGTACTATATTTTAAAGGAACTATATTTTTGCTGCATTAACAATACAGAAAAATGTATTTTGCAAACATTTTTGATACACTGTAAAATGCTTTGCTTCTATTCATTCCTGTAGCAAATCAAAGCATAAAGAATATATAAGGCATCTACTTATCCTTTGTGTCAGGACCTGTCAAGCCAAAGGCACACTGAGATAAGCCATACTGTGATAAAATCACAAGGAAAGTGACAGGATCCAATGTTCTGGCTATCCCACCTCCTCACAGCAAGGACTGGGGGAACCAGTATCTCAGTGAAACTGAGCCCCAATCCCATTTAATGCCTTTGATCAGGCCCCAGTTTCCCTCCCTTGGCTTGCAGTTCCTCTAATTTCATAGTGAAAATTAAAGTCCATTTCTTACTAAAAATTAACTCACTATATTAAAGGGGTGGTACCAGGGTCAGGCCAGCCCACAGAACTCCAGATTGCAAGACTCCAACTTCAGTTACTACCTCTACAGTTAACATACTCCAAATAGACTTCACAGAAACTTCAAGGCCTGATGAAACAAAGTAATACTCAACCTACTCATGTAACCCAGGCAGACTGGAGCCCACTCTGCCATCATAAAGGAATATGCTGGCTTCCTATCACTGAGTAAAGGCAGGCTACAAGCACTGTGAACCAGACAGACACACATGGGAGCTGATCACATACTGCTCAAACCCAACTTTAGTCTGTAATATTCACTGCCCTTCTTAACCCCTTAGGGAGGATGCGAATTGACTGGCAACTGCCTAACTCTTTGTTCTGTTCACTGCAAAATAAATTCCTTTCTTCTACCACTCCAGTGTTAGTGATTTGCTTGCCACACATCAAGTGAGCAGACCCAGACTTCTGGGAGTTTCTTTAACACCATTATACATACAACCCAATCAAACATTTTGTGTGCCCTGCCACACTATTGGGAAACTACCTGCACCCAGGAATTTCTAGGACTGTTGACCTGCTACACTTCAGCTTGTTTGTTTAGTTACCCTAGAAAACCAAAAAAAGTATATGCCTTATCTGTTTTTTCTAATGAGGGTGAATTAATATTTCCTTTCTTCTGAGAATTTTAAATCATCTTTAGGAAAACTGGAATAATAATTAAGAATACAAGTCAGTAATCAGCCACCTTCCACCCTCACCCTCCTGATCCCTACACACACATTTTATCATGTACCTTTGATCTTGGATTAAGAGGTGTGAATCGCCCACTTCCTGAAGTGGCATTTAATGGAGAACAAGCATTACTAGTAGCTCCTGAAGATCTATTTATGAGAAATAAAAGAGAGTGAGCAAGATATCATTAACTTTCAAAAATTACGCAGACTGACAGTTCTTAATACTGAGTGGCTAACTTAGGTCCAAATGAGGTAAATTATTTGCCACCTATTTTCAAGAACTTTTAGATCCTTTTTAAAATGAAGGAAGTTTATCTTTTACAACAATTTTAGGCCTACAGAAAGACTGGAAAGTACAGAGTTCCCAAATAATCCCTCCCCCTACCTGTGAAGTACACAGTTTTCTATTACCAACACCTGATCTTGCATTAGTGGGCCACATGTGTTACACCTGATGACCCAATAGTGATACATTATTATTAACTAAAGTCCAGAGTTTATGCTAGCATTCACTTTTTGTGTTGTGCAGTCTATGGATTTTGACATATATCATACAGATACATCATTTTGCCATCGCCACATCATCATTCAGATAAGTTTTCAACATTAAAGTGGAAAAATGAATGTGCAGGGTTGGGGAAGAATTTCAAGGCAGGACAAGAGTAACAAGACCTGCAGCAGCTCAGTACAGTAGTAAGGAAGCAGAGTGGAAACAAAAGAGCCAAGTACATATTGTTAGTGTCACCATTTACCTACCATGTGACACACCTCTGCTCTATGAGCTTAATTTTCACTTATTGTAAAGAAAGAAAATACTACCGTTCAATTTATTCACCCCATCATATATTACCTCCTAATTCTGTAATTTATAAGTACTCCACATACTTATTATCCCACTGGTTTCAGTAGCTAACTCACGATTTTCTACTTGGTTAAGGCTTGTTCCTCACTCCTCTTCCTTTTTCCCCAAAATTTCCTGGCCGACTATTTTATTTTCTCTACCAGACTGACTCTGTTGGAATCTAAGTCAGATACTATGCACAAAGAAAATAAAACACATCCTAAATTCTTGATTTCTCTTTTGTAAGTAACTACCCACACAGTAACTCTACCTCCTTGTGTTTGTCCCAGTGACAGGCGAGACAGTACTGCATTTTGAGCTTTCTGGGCCATCTGCTCCTGGAATAGATATCTCAATGGTCCTCTTTGCACCTTCTAAAATATCAAAGTAAATATTAGTTTCATGGATAAAATTAAAATTTTGCTCCATTTTACTGTAAATTGCACATGACATGTATGGGGGTTCTTCCCATATTTTTATCATTATGGCCTACAGATACTCTTGAAGGAATTTTTAAAAAAAAGGAATTGGAGGCAGGCATTTTGCATAACAGTTAAGACACCCACCTCTCATATAAGATGGGTTCAAGTCTCAGCTCCTTTCCTAATTCCAGGAAGCAGCAGGTGACAGTTCAACAACTTTGGTCCCTGTCACCTATATGGGAGACCTGAATTGAGTTCCTGGCTCCCTGCTTTGGCCTTGCCAAGCCCCACTGTCACAGGCATTTGGGGAGTGTATCCACAGATAGGAGATAATAATCTGTTTCTTCGTCTGACTTTCAAATAAAAACATTTTTAAAAGCATTAGCTGTGAGATGAGAAATTTTAGTTACTAGTGATAATTTGGTAGCATGCCAGTACACAGAGTGCCAGAATATTCAAAAAGTGGTATAATATCAGATATGTAAGTGAAAAACAGAAATTAAGAGCTAGCCTTAAGAACATGGTCTCTCTGTCAAAACCAGCTTATCTACAATTTTCCCCAAAAAAGGAAATTTTCTGATATGCAGTTAAATTTCAAATCTTTTAAATCTATTTACATTATTACTATTACTGCTGACATTAAAGCAGGAGTAGAAAGTTGCCTGAAGAGCTCACATGGCCAACCGCAAGTCTAAATTATATACATTTTCAATATTTCAGAATATGAAGTTAATCAACAAATATTTACTAGGTATTTGCTAGTGAAAAAACTTTATGTCTATCCCAGGCAGTATCAGAGAGGTGCCTACAAATCACTACTGATTTCCAAATCACAGTGATTTCCAGGGTTAAAAAGGTAATGAGACCTTATATTTAATTTTACAAAACTAAATTTTTCAGTTACCCTAGAAAACAAAAATTCTTCCATGGCACATCATTTGTTTTGTTTTTATCAATATAGGCTACAGAGGTGCCTATGAAAACAAGAATTGTATTTATAGAGAGAATACCTTAGAAATATAAATAACCAGTTGCAAATCTAGAATATACTTTGGAACTTCAGACAAATCAGTAGCCCCTTTATGCCTGTATGCCTGTTTGTTTATCAAGTAGGTATAAATCAGCCCTGTCTACTCGCAGGGTATTGAATTCTAAATGAGTCATTAGAAATATGTAAAAGCATTTTTTAACCTTACAGAACTACTGAGAATGAAGATATCTTTTTTCTTTTTTTTTTGAAGGCAAAGAAACAGAGACACACTGAACTCCCATCTACTATCCACTAACCAACTGCCTGCAGCTGAGTCAGGCCAAAGCTAGGAGTCAGGAATTCAACTCAAATCTGTCACATGGGCAGCAGGACCCAACTAGTTAAGCCATCACCTGCTGCCTCCCAGGATGCACATTAGCAGGAAGACAGAACTGGCAGTAGAGCTTAACTCCAATCCACTCACTCCAATATGAGATTCAGGTGTCCCAAGTTGCATCTTAACTACTACACCAAACACCTGTGCCAAATGCCACATTAATCACAAAATTATTCGTAATGTGTGATCTGTTGTTTCTTCATTGCACTCAGCGCTGACATTATCTCATGTATTTATTTGTTGCCTCCTCCCCACCTGGAATGTGGCATATTAAAGACTGTACACATTAGGTGTTTATCCACATGTGAAAGATTTATTTATTCTAATTACAAGTCTTCTGTAGACTCTGTGACTATGAAGAAGACAAAGCTGTCCTTTGAGAAAGCCTGGAATAAACAGAATAAACATTTCACCCAAGTGAAATGCATTGCCCATAATTTTCCAGAAATTTCCCAGATTCTGCCCTCTAGGCCAAATTTCAAAAAGAAAGTAATTTCTAACTGAGGAAAAAAATCTTACTTGCAAATGCCTTAAAGGTAACTCATTTTAATGAGCCATCGGCCATGAAGTCCCTCTAAAACATCAATGCTTAAACTCCTCCAGGAATACATCACTTATTCATGCGTTTTTTTAAATTTTTTTATTCCTGACAATCAGAACTTTCTCTTACATTATGCTAAAAAAAGTCTCTCTACATTCTTCATATAGTTCTATCCCTTAAGGATTTTGATTCAATTCCTGGTTAAAAGCAATATAAAAGCCGGCGCCGTGGCTCAATAGGCTAATCCTCCACCTTGCGGCGCCGGCACACCGGGTTCTAGTCCCAGTCGGGGCGCCGGATTCTGTCCCGGTTGCCCCTCTTCCAGGCCAGCTCTCTGCTATGGCCAGGGAGTGCAGTGGAGGATGGCCCAGGTGCTTGGGCCCTGCACCCCATGGGAGACCAGGAAAAGCACCTGGATCCTGGCTCCTGCCATCGGATCAGCGCGGTGCGCCGGCTGCAGCGGCGGCCATTGGAGGGTGAACCAACGGCAAGGGAAGACCTTTCTCTCTCTGTCTCTCTCTCTCTCACTGTCCACTCTACCTGTCAAAAATAAAAAAAATAAAAAAAATAAAAAGCAATATAAAATCTTCTTCATTTCATTAGCATCTTTCTAAATATGAATACTGTGACAAATCTCGCAGTTACTATTCTATAATTTAGAATCATCTCTAGCTTTTCCTATTTCTAAATATAACCATAGAATAAAAAGTTTAATTGATGGATAAAAGTGTTTTATTGCTTTAACAGAATAAGAACTTGCCATTTGTTGCTCATACAATTTTAACTAAGCATTTCAATGTTAATATTTTATAATTAGCTATAGCATATACCTAAGTGGATCATACACTGAAATGAATTTCATTTAGATGTAGGGTAACTTAAGAACTCAGACACCAAATATTAATTGTAGGTACTATGGAATAGAAAGAATCAGGAGATTTGATTTCCAATCATATTTCTGTCACTTATTCTATAATACAGGCCTGTTTCTTTTTATGTAAAATTGAAGGCACTGGAATTCTTTTAGCTAAATATGAACTGGCAAATCAAGAAAGTGCAAACTTTTCTATTTCTAGGTTTATTTTGTTGTTGCTTTTTTTCACCAAGAGGTGGGGGGGAGGGGAGATCCCCACCCTGGGCCAGGATGAAGCTGAGAGCTGGGAACTCAATCCAGGTCTCCAATGTGGGTGGCCATGACCACGGCTTCCCAGAGTCCACCTCAACAGGAAGTCAGGAGAGCCATGTATCAAACTCAGGTACTCCGATATGGAATATGGGCATCTGAACCCCTAAACACTCTCCCCTATATTTCTACTTTTTAAGCCACAAATTCGTGACCAACCAGTCCATGCTCTCAGAGGTGACTGAACAGGTGACACTGTTGGAGAGGAAAGAGTCAAACCAACAAGCTTCTGTTGCTCTATCAACTGCAGTAGTTTTGCACGGGCTTCCATACTCTGTCGATTCAATTCAGCAATTCGTTCTTCCATGCTACCTGGTATCAGAGACTGTGCTACTGGAAAAGACTTTGGGAGGAAAAATAAAGGGTATGAATTCAATATTGAAAAAAACCTATACAAATTTGACATTTCTACCAAGTACTAGCAAGTTAGTATCCACATTCCTTGCTATACGAACATGAATGGGCAAACAGACTTTACAAATTGTTTACCTAAAAATTAGGATTATAGAAAGGATATTAATCATTCTAAACTTGGGGCCATATTTGTCCTCCAATTCCTTTGTCTGGGCCATAGTCTGTTGGAGTATGTTTTTCTGCATCTCTTAGCATTTGCTGAGCTGCATAAAAGATCACACCAGTAAAGAGAATACTCCCAGTTGGTCTCTAAAGTAAAATGCTAAATGTCATACACCTTCTGATAACAGAACTGGGGCTGCACAGGTTACAAAACAGGATCTTCTGTATTTCAAACAGATGCTCCTATGATGATAATCTTCAAACATTCACTGTGAGTTATTTGGCAAAGATCCTGGGAACCTTGTCATTCTTTCTGACCATGGCCTAAAATATCTGATTCAATAATAGGCATTGATTGGAAAGGAACATAAGCAGAATTAAAAAAAACAGTCACTCCAGGAATGTAACATAAGTATAACTTGAAAATGCAAAGAGAAATGTATTTAAATCATTCCTAACTATTTTATTTTGTTAAATACATCTGTCACTTTGGGAAAAAAACAATTCCTAATAGAAATCATAAATTTGTAGTGTATGCCCATCAGCTTAAAAAAAAGATAGGTAAGGGGCCAGCGCTGTGGCACAGCAGGTTAACACCCTGGCCTGAAGCGCCGGATCCCATATGGACGCCGGTTTTAGTCCTGGCTGCCCTCTTCCAATCCAGCTCTCTGCTATGGCCTGGGATAGCAGTAGAAGATGACCCAAGTCCTTGGGCCCCTGCACACACATGGGAGGCCTGGAAGAAGCTCCTGGCTTTGGATCGGAGCAGTTCTGGCCATCACAGCCATCTGTGGAGTGAACCAGTGGATGGAAGACCTCTCTCTCTGTCTCTACCTCTCTCTGTAACTCTCCTTTCAAATAAATAAAATAAATCTTTAAAAAAAAAAAAGATAGGTAAAACAATGTGAATTAATGATAATTTTGTAATTCCAATTATAAAAAAAAGGGGACAGTATGGGCAGCAGTATTATATAGTCCTTTCTAGTATGATCTCTATACAAATTGGAAAGGAAAGAAAGTTCAATATCTAAGTATTTTCTTTGTAAAATCAAAAGTTGTCTGTTATAAACAATCTTCAAAACTCTGCAAACCTATAAATGTCTCCCAGTAACTCAAAATTGAAGCAATTCATACCTACATGCATCTGTACCAACAGAGCCTGCCTATTCTTGGACTCCTCTCTGTCAGTCCCTTTTGACTTCTATTTCTGTGACTTATTGTTGTCTTCCTTCCTTGTGAACCAGTGCAGACAGAGGTAGGCCCAACCTCTACCACCCTCTAACTTTCCTCACCAAAAGCCTAACCCACTGGTGATAAAGCTCTTATAAATGCAGCCACTGCAGGATGCATAGGGAGGCTGCCCAGTTCCTTCCCACTGCTAAAACACTATCCTGTCCCCAGTAGAGCCCTGAAAGAAGCCTCCTTGCCCCAATTTGGGATAAAAGGAAGTGTCTTCCATCACTGAGATCAACACAAGGTGTGTAATCAATTCCCAACCTCCATCTCATGCTTGGAACTGAGAATTTCTTTTCTACCCCAAAAACAATTAAATGAAGGTGTAAATTACCAGATTATACCACAAAGGTTATTTAACTTAAAAAATTCCTGCATTGTAACATGTAAACCTTTGCTCTTCAAAGTGTCATCCATGGGCCAGCAGCATTGGCATCATTTGGGAACTTATTAGACACGTGTATGCCTTACCCCAGAAGCACTCAGTTAGAAACCACATTTTGGCAAGACTCCCAGATGCTCAATGTACACATTTAAATATGACTTTAATAATCCCTTAAAGCATGATTTCTATAGGAAAATGCACTCTAGGTCCTAACATATTCACTGCTTATGAGTTGAGGGCATTATTTTATGAGCCACTTTGAGTTAAAATATGATTGTGTGGCAAACATTCCAAGTTGTATTAATTCTATACATTTTATCCTTAAAGCTTAACCTTAACTTTCCTATACATTTTACTTTTTATACTATTTTCCTCATCCATACATTCTTACTTTTATATTGCCTTTTATTGCATCTGCAATATAAACTGCTAAATAATTTTCTCCCTATTTTGTGATGAGGATATGTCAAAGCATAAGCTTTCTGGTGGTAGCCTCAAAATTATACAGAACCAATTCTGAAAAGAAGCCCCTTGAGAGGCCCACCCAAGGTCAAATTCCTGTTTAAATTTCTGTATGTTCCTAGTCAATCACTAAGGGGTACTCACAGCAGTCACGTCGCTGGCACTTTCCTGATTGTTCAATGTCCGGAGTCCATCCCCTTGCTCTCCCCCTGATCCAGTGATATTATTCAGATGTGCCTTGATAGCTGAATTCTGCAGTGTCAACTCAGCAATTCGTGCTGCTATGTCTTTTCTTTGTATTAATGTCTCATTTGTTCTAAGCTGTTGCCCATCTCCCAGTACTGGGGACTCTTCAGAGAACGTGGGGTTTCTCAATTGCTCAGAGTTGGAATGGGAACTGCAGAGGTGCTGTGAGAGGTTAACGAAAGGAACTTGAGTTTTGTTCTCCAAATCTTCTCCCATGTGAGAGACTCTCCACCTCTGAGTGAAGAGACGACTCTCTTCGCTTGAATTCTGAATGTCTGTATCAACAGGTAAGGTCTTCTTTTCCCAATTTTGTTCTTTCTCAACTATTTCCACAGTTGGGGGAATTCGTGGAGCAGGACGAGTTTGAACAGTCCTCCTCAACACTGCAGATAAGAATTTAAAAGTAATACAGTAATCTCATTTGCCCATCAAGGAGGCAAAGTATTTCAGTAGAAGGATCTGGCTTCTGAACATCTAAATTACTTTCCTCAGAGAATATACCATCAATGCCACCCCTAATAATCAAGTACAAAAATTTTCTATGGGGTCAGCACTGTGGCATAGCAGGTGAAGCCGCCACCTGCAGTGCCAGCATCCCATATGGCGCCGGTTTGAGTCCCGGCTGTTCCACTTCCAATCCAGCTCTCTGCTGTGGTCTGGTAAACCAGTAGAAGATGGCCCAAGTCCTTGGGCCCCTGCATCCACATGGGAGACCTGGAAGAAGTTCCTGGCTCCTGGCTTCGGATCAGTGCAGCTCTGGCCATTGCAGCCAATTGGGGAGTGAACCAGCGGATTGAAGACCTCTCTCTCCCCCTCTCTGCCTCTCCTTCTCTCTGTGTAACTCTGACTTTCAAATAAAATAAATAAACCTTTTTTTTTAAAAAAAGAAATTGTCTATATTCCTTAAAACATTTGTCAGTATCCCTGTGAAAAGCCGTCTACCACATTCACATTTTAATATACACATTAACTCATATATGGCAATCTTGGGGAGATGAGAAAGAGTGTAGGTAACCAAATAAAACAGAATAGTCAGGAAAGGCATCTCTCTGAGGCGGTAAAAATTTTGCATATGTAGCAGAAAATAGAGCAAAGGACATTTCAGGCAGACAGAACAACAGATGTGAAGGCTCAAAACTAGAAAACAGCAAAGAAAGAGGCCAGTATAGCTGTATCATAGCAACAAAGGAAGAACTGGAAAAATGTGAGACTGGAGAGATGTGCAGGCGCCACTTCTGGTAGAGCCTTTTAGATCATACTAGGAATTTTATAGTTTAATCTAAGGTCAATGAAAACCTATAGAAAGTCAAGCAATGGTTCAAATTACATTTTTTAAATGATGTGGACAGTTGGAAGGTGGCAGAAATGGAAATAGGGAGTCCAGAAACCAATTGTGAATATTTAGAAGACAATGGTGGCTTTGCTAAAGTATGTCAACAATAAAGACAGAAGTAAATAAATTTGTGAAATATTTTGGCAATAGAACTTAGAGTAATGAACTGGAAGTCAACAGTCAGAGAAACACACAGATGAAGACAGCATCTGATTGTACAGTGACACTACCTATTGAGACAGAAAGATAGGAAGGACAGATTTGAGGGAGAGGAGGTTACCAAGAATTTGGTTTTGATCATGCTAAGTTCCAAAGAGATAGATCAGTGTCTTGAAAACTCAAGAGAAACATCCAGACTATGATGTAAAATTAGTAACTGCTGGCATATAAGAAGGTATTAGGGGGCCAGTGCTGTGCCGTAGTGAGTAAAGCCACTGCCTGCAGTGCCAGCATCCCATATGGGCGCTGTTTCAAGTCCTGGCTGGTCCACTTCTGATCCAGATCTCTTCTGTGGCCTAGGAAGGCAGTGGAAGATGGCCCAAGTCCTTGGGCCCCTGCACCTGCAACCCGGAGGTAGCTCCTGGTCCCTGATCAGCTCATCTCTGGCTATTGTGGCCATCTGGAGAGTGAACCAGTGGATAGAAGACCTCTCTCTCTCTCTCTCTCTTGACCTCTCTCTCTCTCTCTGCTTCTGTCTCTCTGTACTCTGCCTTTCAAATAAAGAAATAAATCTTAAAAAAAGAAAGAAGGTATTAGACACTGTGAGAATAAGTAACATTATCTAGACAGATAATGAACAGAGTAAGAAAAGCAACCAGTAACAAGACACGAGGAGCTGAACACTTAGAGTCAGGTAAAGGACAGAAGTTTAGCAAAGTAGATTGAAATGAAGAAGTCAGAAAGGTAACAAAAATATAAAACATGGTATCTAGAAAATACAAAGAGAGTGGTTAGTAGTATATAAAATTACTGTAAGATCTAGAATATAAGAAGAGAAAAGTGTACACTAGATCAAGTGACATGGATGTCACTGGAGACCTTAGCAGGAGTGATTTAGATGGAATGACTTATATTGGGAATGAACTGGGAAAAGGGAAGCTTCTAGTTCAAAACTACATACTGGAGCATGTAATTATGTTGTCCCCTTTCAATAAGAGCAAGGAATTAAAAATTAAATGATCTCACATCAACAGACAATGATCTGGGAAGAGAATAAACATTTCTTGAGAAATGGGCATTAGATCTAACAGTTAAAACACCAACTGAGAGGTACACATACCGTATCAGTGTGCCTGGGTTAAAGCCCTGGGTCTGCTCACAATTCCAGCTTCCTGCTACACCCTGTGAGGCTGCAGGTAAGGTTCAAGTACTTGAGTTCCTGTCATCTACCTGGGAGAGTCAGACTGAGTTCCTGCCTCATAGCTTCAGCCTTGCTCAGCCTGGCTGTGACAGGCACTTGCAGAGTGAACCAACAGATGACAGATCTCTCTGTGTCTGTCTCTCTGCCTTTCAAATAAATAAACAGGACTACAGACCAGAGTTTTCTATCTAGCAACATAATATACCAAGTATAAAAGAAAAATGAAAACATTTTCAAATTTCCAACAACTTTCTAAGCTTACCCTCCACATCCCTCTGTGATGATTTCTTTCAGAAAACAAAGAAAATACTATAAAAAGAAGAAATTAAAGTAAGGAAGCAGCTTGTCCAACCTAGGAGAGTAATCAAAGCAAGTATCAGGATGAGGGATATGCAGCACCCCCAGAAAGTATTGGTCAAGACTGCAGAAGCTTTGAAGGTTTTTGGGAAGGTGACTTTGGGATGAAAACAAATACCATCCCATAAATAGCATGTGGGTACTTCCAAAAGTTCATAAATAATTGAATTAAGAGATAAGCTTATTCAGCACAAAAAAAAATTTTGAAACCTATGCTTAGGAGGAACTCGGGTGATTAAAGGACTTAAAGATATGGTGAAAGTATATTATTCTTTTGTCAACAAGAGGGTAAAGGCAATTTGAATGTCCAAGTGGGGCCGGCGTTGTGGCATAGTGGGTTGGCATCCCATATGGGTGCAGAGTTGAGTACTCACTGCTCCACTTCTGATCTGACTCTCTGATAATGTGCCCAGGAGGGTGGTAGAGGTTGGCCTTAGAGCTTGGACTGCCATGAGAGATCAGGCTCCTGGCTTTGGTCTGGCATAGCCCAGCTCCAGCTGTTGCAGCCACTCCAGCTCCAACTGTTATGGCCACTTTGGGAGTGAACTGGTGGACTAGAACTCTCTTTGTCTCTCCCTCTCTAACTCTGCCTTTCAAATAAATCAAGCACTAAATCTTAAAAAAAAAAAAAAAAAAAAGTCCAGGTAAGCCAAAAAGAGAACAAGATAGTTACAGTATAAATATAAAGGTCTTTAAAAAGTTCACAGAAAATGTGTATTATGAAAAAAAAACTATTCAAGAATATTGAAATGTTTTTGTACTACAATAACCTTATATTTTAAAATTTTATTTTTTTAAGAGACAAGGAGCAAGACAGAAAGCTTCTACCTGATGGGATACTCCACAAATGTCTCAATTAGCCATGGGGCCAAAGCTAGCAGCCAAGAACTCAATCCAGGTGTCCCCTGTGGGAGGCAGGAATTGACACCTAGAGCCATCACAACTACTGCTCAGAGTTTGCATTAGCAGGAAGCTGGAGTCAGGCACTCTGAAAACACTTGCCTCTAAACTTAGCTTGTAGTTCCTATTTTCTATGAACGTTTTGCAGTACCCTCATATTACACAAACTAAAGGATAGTGAACAATTGATGAAATAAAGATTCTCCTTTATGCTCATGGTAAGAACATTCTTTGTTTGGCACAAGGACTCAAAATGGACAGTAACAATGGACTCAAAATGAAACTGTAAATGTTATTTGTTTTCAATTTCCAGTATCCATACAGATAAGACATAGAAAATAAAACTGCAGTAACAGTACAGAATTTTAATATAATCAAGGTTAATAATGTTGAAGGAAAGGTACAGTTGAAGGGAGAAACAGGGGAGACAGGAAAAAGGGAAGGGGAGCTGTATTCTCATCATAAATAGTGGAAAGCCAAGAGATATTGCCTAAAGTTACTGAAGATTAAAGAGAAAATATTTAAGGTTAGAAAGTTAAATAGAGGAATTAAAAATAAAAATATAATTTCCATATTAAATAGAGAACGATTGTTAAATCTTAATGTAAATTATACTTTTTCATAGGGGAGATTCTGTAGTACTATGTAAAGCTGATTCTCAAAAAAAGATGTAAAAAAACTTTTTAAAGAATGACTTATTATTTATTTCTTTGAAAGGAAGAGATGCAGAGAGGAAGGGAGAAAGAAAGAGAAAAAGAGAGAGACAGAGAGAGAGAGGAGGAGGGGGGAAGGTAGGAGAGGGAGAGGGAAAGAAGAAGGAAGAGAGAACCTCCATCTCTGGCCAGGAGGCTACAACTCCCTGAGGGTCTCTCACATGGGTATCAGGAACACAACTACTTGGGTCTTCATCTGCTGCCTTTCCGGGTGCACATCAGCAAGAAGCTGGATTGGAAGCAGAGCCAGGACTCCATCCCAGGCTCTGATATGGGATACAGGCATCCCAAGAGGCATTTTTAACTGCTATGCCAAATGCCCCACCACACCAAAAATGTTTTATTAATTATAGAGACAACTACCAGGCAAACAAATATCAAATTGAGATAAAAGTGATTGCCTTTGGGGGTAGGCCTACCAGCAGGACAGAAGGAGATCCTTGCATGTACTTTTTTTCAATTATGTGCAAATATGAATTAGAATTAACACTTTAAAATAATGAATGGGAGATAAGAAAGTAAAAACAATATACTTATTTACTACTCTTTCAAGAAGCATGGCTATAAAGGAAAGCAGAAATAAAGTAATAGCTAGAGGAAAATATCATGGGAAATTGTAGAGCAATATTATCTAATATGGCAAACTCTAGCCATTTTTGGCTATACAAATTCAAATTAATTAGAATTAAATAAAATTTAAAATTCAGTTCCCCAGTTACACAAGCCACTAATTAGGTGTTCAACAGCCCCATGAACCGTACTGGATGGGGCAGATAGAGAATACTGTCATCATTCTCTGGGACAAAGCTATCCTAAAGGATAACTGAATGCTGATGAAGGGCCCACTTTCATCTGCAAATTTAGTTTAACTAAGAGCAATTCTTTACATGTAGGTATTCAGAATCCAGTGTTTTAAAAATATAATAAAAGCCCTCAATTCAGAATACGTATTCAAAGGCAGCTCTATCTGCACATTATACAAGAAATAAGCCATGTTACTGTTTCCAGTGCAGAACCTCAAAATGCTAACATACATTGTATATAGCAGTCTTTGAAAACTTACTTTAATGATCTTCTAGTATATTTACAGAGTAAAAGAACTTTAAGTTATTTTACCATCTAAAAAAATCTAAAAGAGATCATTACACAAGCCTACCAACATAAAAACATTTGAACAATTACCTTAAGGAGTAAAAAAGCCTAAACTGAACAGAAATCAGAAATGAAATTTATTTCCTTAATCTAGGCCAGAGCTGTTAATACTCTTCAGTCCTCCGAAGAGGAAATATCAAATCATAGGATTATAGAGCTGGAAAGGGCATTAAAGATAAAGAAAATCCTCTAATGTTCCAGACAGGAAAGCTGTCTCAGCCCATGCCTCACAGCCAGTCAACAACACCTAGGCCAAGACACTGGCATTTCTGACTTTCAACCTCTACTACACTGACATGACACATGCTACATAAATACTGACACAAATTTTATAACAGCAAGTATTTGTAATATTCTTTTAACCTCTTATGGCCTATATATGTCCTTTACTGGAAACATATATGAAAGTGCAGAAAATCTGACAAAATTTGTATATCCTAATGACAGTGATTCTGTTCCCCAATATGAGAATATAAACAATCTTTTTAAAGAAATAAAGATTCAGGCATCAGACGAATAATATTTTTCAAAAAACTTTGTAGGAGAATTTAAAGTAATGGTTCCTAAGTTTTTATGACTGAAGCACTCTTTTTAAAAACTAAATGAAGGCCAGCACCCACGGCTCACTAGGCTAATCCTCCACCTGCGGCGCCGGCACACTGGGTTCTAGCCCCTGTTGGGGCACCGGATTCTGTCCCAGTTGCTCCTCTTCCAGGCCAGCTCTCTGCTGTGGCCCGGGAAGGCAGTGGAGGATGGCCCAAGTGCTTGGGCCCTGCACCCACATGGGAGACCAGGAGGAAGCACCTGGCTCCTGGCTTTGGATTGGCTTAGCTCCGGCCATAGCGACCATTTGGGGTGTGAACCAATGGAAAGGAAGACCTTTCTCTCTCTCTCTCTCTCTCACTGTCTAACTCTGCCTGTCAAAAAAAAAAAAAAAAAAAAAAAAAAAAAAAAAAAAAAAAACCACTAAATGAAGGCAATAGCTCCAGAAAAATGTAAATATAGAGAAATGCAATTTAATTCTCCCAATGAATTTAAACAATCTTTCAGCTAAGGTTTAACAAAAAAAGTTAAAATTTTTATTAAAAACTCTTAAATGTGGGTTGCAAAAGTAACCTATCTAATTTTAATTGTACAGTTTTCATATAAAATTCCCTCAACTGACTGAACAAAAACTTTTGATGAGAAAGGAGTTAATATGACAATGATACATGACACAAAATCCATCCAAGTCACAATCTTCATCTTTCCTTGGCCAAACTTTCACTTTTCTAGAGAGTATAATCTCCTCTGGTTTCTTATTCTTTTGTTCACTCTTGGACCCCAAGGACAAGTGATTATCTTTCCTCTGGAGCTTAATGCTAAGGACTTTGAACTTTTGATCTGAGTTTAACATTCACAGTGCTTAATGGAAAAGACATTCAATGAAATTAATTCAAGGTCCCACTTCAGCTTAGGTATAACATATATAACATAAACCACCGTGAAAATTCCTCCTTCAGCCTAATTATGGATGAGCAGTAATCGAAGTATTTTTCACTTCTTTCAGGTAACAGTAAACACAATATATTACATAAATGAAGATGAAAAATGATCCATATAACTCCAGAAAAAGCCTTCTTACCATCCTGCAGAGGAGAGAATTCTGAATTGCTTTTCTGGCGTGGTGGTGTTAATAACACAGCTGGCTCAAAAATATGTGCTGGGAAATTGTTGGCCAGATTTCCACTATCTGGGAGGTTTGGCCCCTGAGACAGCTTCACAGGCAACTCTTCCTGTGGGAATTCAACCACTTCTTCCCCTCGGAATGTCAATGGCACAGAGACATTAGTATTTGTAACTGCACCCCCTGAAGGAAATGAGAGGAATTAGTACAAAAGGCACATATCTGGGTACATTTCAGATATTTATTCTTAAGTGCATTTTAGTAGTGTGCAAAATCCACATGGTCCCTGGAGTCTTCACTTTCTAGGCTACACCTTCTTTTGCCAGTAATTCACAGGAAGGCTCCCAAAGGAACTAGCACTGGGAAGAAGTTGCTATTTTTGAGAAAGCCATTTAAGGACTCCTAAAATATCTTACCTGGCACTTGAATTTTTCATTAATACTCATGACAAATAACAAAATGGCAAAAATAGGGCATGTTAACACACTGACCTCCATACACAAGGGCTCATTATAAAACATGGTAATTTCACAGGCCATGCATTATCATAGTACAGTCACTTTTGATATTATTTTAAAAGGGTTGCAAGAGTTGAGACTAAGAAAGATGCTAAGATGGCTTCACCTACATAAATATTTCTTCTTTAACAGCACTAGTAAGAATTAACAATAATCCTACTAGACACTCATTCTCAGGCCTTCTCACCCATAACTAAAAGCTTTCTCCACGTGAAACTTAACTCAGAAAACACTGACATACTCCTCGACTGAGATTCACAGCAAGACTCAACCAGAAGACAGAATGCCATGGCCATTGAGTTTACTTTATGCAAGTTCAATTTTAGTCAGTCACTTCTTAGCAGCCATCCTACAAAAACAGTCCTAAATACACAAAATACTTTCCACATAGACACCTAATCAAAATAGTGTTTAAAAGAAAGAAACATGAGTAAACCTAAATATCCTATTCAGCATATAGCCTATGATGGCACATGAAGAAAAGAAAGGTTTCCAGAACATTACGACATCTGAACAAAAGTTATGAATTTCTAAAATTCTGAGTTTTTTTCTTTCCAAAACCATCTGTTCTCCTAATTCGAGAGCACCATGATTAAAAGTGCTGGCACTCAAGTCTCACTGGTTCTACTATTTTCTACCTGTGTGACTTTACTAGTTACTAATCTTCTCTAAAATTCAGCTTCCTCACCTAAATAATAGGGAATAATAATAACACCTACCTACCTCGTAAGACTGTTAGAAGGATTAACTGTGATAATGCATGTAAAGCTTGGAGACAATCTGGCATAGAGCAAGTACCAATATCACCTAAAAAGCAGTAACCACTGTAGTATATGTTTAAACAGCCAGCAGCTCTATGTAAGTTTAGGAGTTTAGAGTTTGGCAATATGTGCTCAAGACCGTTAAGTAGTTTCATGATTCTGGGATAAGATCACATTCACCTGGACTGTCCATAGTTCTACTCGTGGCTCCCCCTTCTGGCACCTGACTTTCTTGTCTGCTGCTGTTTATCACAGGACAGCTCTTAATGGCATGTGTAAGTGATATAAGTTGCTCATCTGTTGTGACCATGTACTGCTGAAGTCTTGCCTAGAGAAGAAAAGAATTGAAATCATACCATTAGCATATAAATCAAATCTTCACTTAGAAAGCAAATCATACAAAGGATATGTGTGAATTTGAGACTTTCACTGAAATTCCAAAACAATGTTATTCATGATTGTAAATATTCCAAAAGGGTCACAATTAGGACATGATTAATAATGGGCTATTAAAAAATATCCTGCTGTAACAGTAAGAATTAACTGTTTACAGGGTTTTCAATTCACAAAACCTCTTCATGTAGATTTCAATTACCTTTCAAGCTACACCAAGATACAGAGATAATTCAACAGAATATTACATAGGCATTGACTAATAAACATGTATACTGTAAATAATTTGTGTGTATATATATATACATTTCCTATATTTTATATATTATGTAAAGTGTCCTTTTATTTAAAAGATCATTCAAACATACCATACCCACTGATTTATTGTCTGTCATATAATTGAATGTGTTCATTGTTTGGAATACCACTACATTTACAAGTCAACTGAATTGCCAAGAAATTCAGGTGAATTTGTTTTGTTCTTAATCTTTTCCACATCAAAGATGTAAGAAGCTCATCTGAAAGTGTCATGTTTGACTACAACCAGACAGTATATGTCTTTAAGTATTGCTTTAAACAAATGGTTCTTAGAAGCACAGAAAATGGCAAGTGCCAGGAAGGAGTGTTCTTTTCTTTTTTAAAATGTTAAGACAGACATCAAGAGAGGAGAGGGCAGGGAGAGGTTGTGTTCCCACTAGTTCACTTCCCAAATGCCTGCAACAGCCAGATCTGGACCCAAGAACAAATCCAGTAGCTGGGAACTCAACGCAGTTCTCTCACATAGGGGGCAGGATACCAATTCCTTGAGCCATCACTGTTGCTTCCCAAAATCCATATTAGCAAGAAGTTGAAGCCAGGTATTGAACCCACATATCTAATATGTGATGCAGCTGTCTTTTCTGGGATTTTTTTTTTGCTAGGCCAAACACTAGCCCACCAGGAAAGCTCTTAAAATTGGGGAGGGGAGGGGAGGGGAGGGGAGAAGAGGGGAGGGGAGGGGAGGGGAGGGGAGGGGAGGGGAGGGAAGGTGTCGCTCCCCCTCTTCATGGAGGAACGACACTAAACCCTGCCTAGGCTTCATATCCGAGTCACGGCACCATTATGTCGCTCCCCCTCTTCGTGGAGGAACGACACAGGACCCTGCGCTGTTCTTTCGTCTGCTCGGCCCTCCCCGGGTTTGCTGCCGGTTCTTCCCGGGTTGGCTACCGACCCTTCCACCTCCGTGGAAGGGCGGTTCCCCCTGCCACATTCCCCACTTCTGCAGGAGAGCGGCACACCGCCGGCCGGCTCTCTCGGGGGCTGCACAAGTGTTCCTCTTAGATGTTCCCGTTAGATGTTCCTGGTGCATGCCGTCTCTCTCCTCCTTTATAGTCCTCCTCCGCCAATCCTAACTCGGCTGCCCACACGCCGAGTACGCTGCTCTCCTCCAATCAGCAGTAGGTCCTACAGTTTATTGGTTGAACTGGAGGCAGCTGTGTAGAAGCTGTTTCTCCCTTCTCAGCGCCATATTGTGGGAGAGCAGATGCATAGAATAAGTCTTAATTCCAGTAACTTAGTCTAGTCCGAGTTGCTCCCCACAGGGAGGAGAGGGGAGGGGAGGGGAGGAGACATCTGAGTCTGGATGGGAGAACTGACAGGGGCTGGGTGCTCATGACTGTGGGAACCTTGTGTACTGGTACTGTGAAACATTGTGGCTGTGTGGGAGGGTGAAGAGTGTAGCTGGGTCTTTGGGTAGTTACTATGGGTGGCTCCACTTGCTCAGGGCTCCCTGATTCCCTGGTGAGGGTCAGTGCTGCGGGATCCGTGATCACATGGAGGACTGCACAGATCATTTGTGTGGTTCTTGTGGTAGCACGGATGAATATTATACACACTGGGGCTAATGCCCAGGTGTTGGTCTACCTTAAGGAGAGAAGATGAGTGTAAGACTACACCAACAGAGTTGAACAAACTTCCCCTGATTAAAAAAAAAAAAAAAGAAATGTACCACGTCCAAACTGGGTGTCACCTTGGACACTCCCCTTATCCTGGAGCACCGCATAGAGCTCCCTGACCACACCCAGCACATGCCTCCTATCTGTAGGATTGACTACATGCTAGGCCATAAAGCAAGTCTCAGCAAATTCAACAAAAATTGAAATCAGAACATGCATCGTATCTGACCACAATGAAATAAAGCTGGAAATCAACAACTCAAGAATCTCTAGAACATACGCAAACACATGGAAACTGAACAACATGCTCTCAAATGAACAGTGGGTCACAGAAGAAATCAAGAGAAATCAAACAATTTCTGGTAACAAATGAACAAGACAATAAAACATATCAAACATATGGGATATAGCAAAAGCAGTTTTAAGAGGAAAGTTTATAGCAATTGGTGCTTTCATCAAGAAATTGAAAAGGCATCAAATAAACAAGATATCAATGCATCTCAAGGACCTAGAAAAACAACAGCAAACCAAACCTAAAACTAGTAGGGGAAAAGAAATAATTAAAATTAGAGAAAAAATAAACAAAATTGAAACTAAAAATAATACAAAAGATCAGCAAAATAAAGACCTAGCTTTTTGAAAAAATAAACAAAATTGATACACCATTGGTCCAACTAACCCAAAAAAGGGGGGGAAAAGACCCAAATCAAAAAAATTAAAGATGGAAAAGGAAATATAACAACCATATGACTCAATTTAGGTAGGTTTTATGTGTCCATCAACTGAAGACTGGTTAAGGAAATTTGGGTTATATACACCATGGAATACTGTATCGTGGTAAAAAAAAAATGAAATCCTGTCATTTGCAACAAAACAGATGAAACTGGAAAACATCATACTTAGTGAAATATGCCAGTCCCAAAAGGACAACTCCCTGATCTGTGATAATTAATAGACCACCAAAAAGGTAATCTATAGAAGTGAAATTAACACTTTGAGATGCAACAACTCTGATCAGCCCTTGTCTCAACTATTGAAGACCAGTTTTATTTTTAAGTTAATTGAAAATAGATCTTAGCAAAAAATAAGAATGAGAATAGGAGAGGGAGGAGGAAGAGTGTGGGTGGAAGGGTGGGTATGGTGGGAAGAATCAGTGTGCTCTTAAAGTTGTATTTATGAAATGCCTGAAGTTTGTATTCCTTACATAAAAGGTTTCTGGGAAAATAAATAAATAAATAAGGCCTTTCTTGTAATGCTAGGCAATCCCTTCTATTGATAACAACTTGAAAACCTAGAGAAAATTATTAAAAATATTTATTTTATGATACCAGAGATTACAAAGCTCATAAAAAATCTTGAGAATACCTTACTTTTACAAATAACAGCTGTTCTGAATATGAACTGTGAGTTGTGGTTTTCTTTCCTTGAGTGCTTCATAAACCACACCCACTCCATCTCCACAAACCATGTAGTAGTGAACAACAATTTTAGTAACTCAAGGTAGCAGATAACAGAGTATAAGGCAGCAGACCAGCTGGATATTTAGAAAGATCTTGTTGGCAAAATAGCCACAGGAGGGCTGAGATAAAAAATATCTAAATGTAAACTCTATGAAAAGTCCTGGCTGCTTCAAACTACACTACATGGGAGTCTGTTAGAAAGCAGGTAGCAAATAAAGGGAGATCTACATTTGAAAGAAATAAAGAATAAAACAGAAAACAACTTTGAGTGCAATTTGCAATTTGACTGTGTTACTTAAATCACGTACAACTCTGAAAGGCAGAAAACAAATGCCTTACCAGCTTTGAGGTGTCAAAGAATAGATCTCAGGATTGAAAAAGAGATTGGGAAATTTACACTGACCATATGGCCCAGCAATTCACACAAAAGACACAAAAATTTATGGCTATGCAAAGAGTTGGAAGTAAATTTTTAGTGGAACTTTTTAGAAGAGACCTAAATTATAAATAACTTAAATGTCCAACAGCATGCAATACAAATTATATATATCTTTAAAAATGTATATCATTCAGAAATAAAAAAGTAAAATATGAATATATAGAACATGGATTAAAAAAACTGCCTATACCGTGGATAACTAGAAACATATGTTCATGTGAAAATGCATATATCAATGTTTACAGCAGCACTAATCACAATACATAAAAAGTAGAAATATCTCAAATATTCATCAACTGACAAATGGATAAAGGTGATATATCTATACAGAAATACTGTTGAGTAACACAAAGGAATGAAGTACTGATATGCGCAACAAGAAAAATAAACTTTTTTAAAAAAGATTTATCTATTTATTTTAAAGTCACAGTTACAGCAAGAGAGGAGAGATTAAAAAAAAAAGAGAGATCTTTCCAGTTGTTGCTTCATTTCCAATATGGCCACAATGGCCAGAACTGGGCCAGGCTGAAGCCAGGAACCAGGAGCTTCTTCCGAGTCTCCCACATGTGTAGCAGGGATCCAAGCATTTGGGCCATCTTGTGCCACTTTCCCAAGGCCATTATTAGGGAGCTGGATCAGAAGTGGAGCAGCCAGGACCACAATGGTCCCAACACAGATGAACTTTAAAAACAAGCTAAGTGAAAGAAGCCACATGTAAAAGACCACATATTGCATGATGCCATTTCTATGAAATACACTGATTAATCCACATGGACAGAAAATAGTGATTTCTATGGATATGAAGAAGGGGACAATCAGAGTGACTTCTACTGGGTAAAGAGTTTCTCTTTTGGAATGATAAGAATGTTCTGGACTTAGATAATGGTGTTGACATACAAATCTGAATATACTGAAAACACTGAATTACAATACTTAAAAGGGTGGATTTAATAATATGTAAGCTTTATTATCAAATTTTTAAAATTATATGTCTTATAACAAATGTCCATTGATACAAACACAATGTTATTACCACCTTTCTAATATTTTCTGGCTGATAAATAAGATATAATAAAAACTGCATGGGTACAAAAAGATGATTAAAACAGCCTCTGAACTAAAACTGCACATAGTCTCAGCAACAAGTACACATTTAAGTGTAGCATCATTTGGAAAATGCAATGAGAGAAATAGCCAGAATACCAAAAAGCCACAAAGGAAGAATAATTAACATAGACACAGGCAAGGTTTCCTAGGAGAGATTTTGGACAAATTTTTTAAAAAGGGGAGTAGTTAGTCAAATGGCCAAGAAGACTGAGTAACAAATATGAAGACACTGTAATCACTGTAAATGACATCTGATGTGACTGCAAAAGAGCTCACAACATGTACTCTGCTATTTGAAATTCAAAGTGGCTATCATAATACTAATTCACATTTTAGATTAACTACTATACTAGTGGTAGCTATCACTTAAATACAGATTCTGTCTTCCCCACTAACGTACCAAGTTTCTTAAAGACAACAACTCTATATGCTATCTGCATTCCAAGCTTCTACTATAATAATATCCTCGATAGACCACCTACTCAATAAAAGCTGCCACCAATGACAGTGAGGTTCAAACAGCTAAACCAAAGGCAACTGTAAGAGAATCCAGTACCTGTTTAAAGATATTTAAACTAACAAACACAGAAAAGTATGGGATCTTATCTAAATACCTGTGTAGTAGTATTTTCTTCTCTAAGAAGGAGAATTTCAGATGTTAGAGCATCAATAAGCTCTCGATGATCACCTAATGCTTTTTCTAGTTGCTGCCTTGTCTCTACTTCTTTACGAAGTTGAAGCTCACTCTACAAAAAAAAACAACAAAAACCTCACCAGAAACATCATACATTGAAATCTAAGTTTCCACTCAAAGTAATTAAAGATATTTTCAAAAGAAGAATTTGTTACATGAGAGTAATAAGAATTTTTAAAATAAAATTTTAAATTTTAAAAGTAATAAAATAAATTTTAAAATATAAAAGCAGTAAAAGTTTAAAGTCTTATAATATTTAATTAAAGAAAATGTGCTGCTTTATCCTTATCCATTCTCTAAATAAGACATAATAAAAAAGCATATCAAATTAAATTATACTTTTGTAAATGAAAGTACAAGTATACACATATACATATTGTTTGAACAGACAAAGACTACTTCGAGAAAGAAACACTACTACTTGGTAATGGGGTTGACTACCAGAAGTAAACAGGTTAGCTGGAAGTTAGGGGCAACAGTTAGGTTTTTCATTTTACAACCTTTTGTATCTTTGAATTTCACAGCACGTGATTTTATCACTGATCCAAAAACTAACCTTGTTAAAATATAATTAAATATAAATGACTACTGATTCAAGTGATTAGCTAAACAGTACATGCTTTCAAGCCTGTTAACACTTCCCAAGAGCCAAAAGTACACTCCTGAGGACTCCTGAGTTAGGGAGAAAGATTGATAAGATTCCAGAAAGTCTGATGGATATAAGAAATCTTTCATTAAAATCTTCCATTTAAGGAAGATGGCTCTAGAGAAACTGAAACAACTGAATTAGGGTGTTAGATAAATCTATATTTTTAAATAATAAAAATTTCAACACACTTTACAGATTTAAGTACATATAAATAACAGCCAAAGTAACTTTAAAATTATTAAATGTATAGCTAACACTAATATTACAGCATTTTGAGGACTGATTGCTGTTTGAAAACAAATTTAAGAAAAAATTCTTCCTTGTTTTATACCCACTTAGACAATACCTGAGACAATACCCAGTGAAACCATAAACCAAGTTATAGAGAAAACATGGGGCTGGTGTTATAGTGCAGTGGGTTAAGCCAACACCTGCAATCCCCAGGATCCAGTATCAGAGCATACTAACCCAGCTTCCTGCTAATGTGCCTAAGAAATGTGGGTCACCCACATGGGAGACCCAGATGGAGTTCCCAGCTCTTGGCTTCAGCTTGATCCAGCCCTAGCCATTGTAGCCATTTAAGGGAGTGAATCAGCAGATGGAATCTCTCTCTTTCCTCTGTAACTCTTTCAATTAAACAAAATATATCTTAAATAAAAAAGAAAACATGAAGAATTTTCCTACCTATCAAGTCTACAGATTATAGCAATGCCACTTTCCAAACTCAATAGTAAGCAGAGAAAAGCAACAGAATGAGAATACAGTTAATAGTGCTACTCAAGGTATAGCCGCTAAACAGCAAAATCTAGTATTGGCACAAGACATAATTTTATTTGCCTCACTAATTATAATTATGCTAATTATAATTTTGGAAAGCTCAAATGGCTATCGTCCAAAAATCAAAAAACAGTAAGTGCTGGTGTGAAAAGGAACCGTAATCTACTATTGGTGGGAATGTAAACTAGAACAACCATTATGGAAGAAAGTATGGCAATTCCTCAGAAATCTAAAAACACATCTAATATGATCCAGCCATTCTACTTCTGAGAATTTACCCAAAAGAAATGAAATCAGCATATGAGAGTTATTTGTACGCCCAGGTTTACTGCAGCTCAATTTACAATGGCTAAGAGATGGAGTCAATCCAGATGTCTACAACTGCTGACTGGATAAAGAAAATGTAAATACACACCATGGATTACTACTCAGCCATAAAAAACGAATTCAATCTTGTCTTATGTAACAAAATAGATGCAACTGGAAACCATTACACTTAGTGAAATAAGTGAGTCTCAAAAAGGCAAATATCATCTATTTTCTCTGATATGTGGCAACTAATATAGAATACAAAAAAAATATAGGAATGAAATGGTCACTTTGGGATATGATTGTCATTTTTAGCTCATGTTTATACTCATGTGGAACTGTAGTCTTCCTACTTTTTACTTGTTTAAATACTATGATTAGAGGAGAATTAAGCCTCTGACTATAAAGTGGATTAAAATTATGTCTTTTTTTTTTAAAGATTTATTTATTTATTTGAAAGTTAGAATTACACAGAGAACGGAGAGGCAGAGAGAGAGAGGTCTTCCATCCGTTAGTTCACTCCCCAAATGGCCACAATGGCTGGAACTACGCTGATCCGAAGCTAGGAGTCAGGAGCTTCCTCCTGGTCTCCGATGTGGGTGCAGGGGCCCAAGCACTTGGGCCATCCTCCACTTCTTTCCCAGGCCGTAGCAGAGAGCTGCATAGGAAGTGGAGCAGCCAGGTCTCAAACCAGTGCCCATATGGGATGCCGGCACTTCAGGCCAGGGCGTTAACCCGCTGCGCCACAGTGCCAGCCCCTAAAATTATGACTTTACAAAAACTGATAAAGGCAGGGGTGGGAGGGGGATTGGAGGTGAACACAGGAGTGAGGAAAGTTTGGTTGTCTTCTTGGAACTGTACCTACAGACTGCATAAAATCAAAATTTTTTTAAAAAAAAGAAAGCTCTTTTTAAAATTAAAATAACCTACCTAGCATGTATCAACTAATGGTAAAAGGATAATAACATTAGCCGGCGCCGTGGCTCAATAGGCTAATCCTCCACCTTGCGGCGCCGGCACACCGGGTTCTAGTCCCGGTTGGGGCGCCGGATTCTGTCCCAGTTGCCCCTCTTCCAGGCCAGCTCTCTGCTATGGCCAGGGAGTGCAGTGGAGGATGGCCCAGGTGCTTGGGCCCTGCACCCCATGGGAGACCAGGAAAAGCACCTGGATCCTGGCTCCTGCCATCAGATCAGCGCGGTGCGCCGGCTGCAGCGGCGGCCATTGGAGGGTGAACCAACGGCAAAGGAAGACCTTTCTCTCTCTGTTTCTCTCTCTCACTGTCCACTCTGCCTGTCAAAAAAAAAAAAAAAGGATAATAACAGGACAAACCCTTACTGAAGATAATCTAACCAGAGGGATTTTAAACAATGCTATTCAAGTTTGAACTTTATTTACCTGTTTTTTAATAATGGTTATAAATAAAGTTAACATGAATAAATGCTGAGCATGACCTGAGTCCTTTTTCGTGTGTTTTATCTATTTATTTATTTGAAAGACAAATACAGAGAAAGACAGAGAGACATCTTCCATTCACTGATTCACTCCCCAAATGTACACAACAGCTGAGGCCGCACCAGGTCAAACTCAAGAACCACGAACTCCATCCAGATTGCCCACATGGGTGGCAGGAACCTAAGTACCTGGGCCATCACCTGCTGCCTCCCAGGCACATTAGTAGGAGCTGGATGGGAAGCAGAGGCAGGACTTGAGGCACTCTAATATGGGATGTGGGTGTCTCATGTGGAAGCTTAACCTGCTGTACCACAATGTATCCCTCTTATACTTTATTGGGAGGCTGCAATAACTTAAGCAGAGAAGGAAAGAAAAAAAAAAAAAAACCCACACATTTCTTCCTGAAGAAAATTCTATTAATCTCATGCTCTTACCTCTTTAAGGTATCGAACCAGGCGACAGAGAGAGCTCACTAGAGACAAAGTGAAGCCTGTGAGACCATGACCACCCTGCAGTCCTTTGACCTCGCGTCCTGTCCACCGCTCATATTCCGCCATTTCATGTTCCACCTCATGTATCATGTGTTTCAGAATATCCAGGCTGGAATTACTGCTACTGGGTAAGTCTGCAGATGTTGTGCTAGCTGATAACGTGCTCTTCTTCTGCTTGGAAGGAGCATGCAAATCTGGTTTTCTTTTCACTGACAAGGACAGACACAATTCTATTTCAAGACCAGGAAAAATTAAAACTAGAAAACAACTAGAAAAACCTTTTGACTGTTGTTATAAAATCCTTTGACAGAAGTTAATATAATTTTCTCATAAAAATCTTTATACTAGGGCTTACACAATCTATAGTGAATGTGCTAGAACTATCTTTCCAGAGTTACATGGAATAGGAGGCATTTCTTTGCTATTATTCAATTAACTCTCACTTGACGTTCTCCAACTAGAAGAGCTTAAGGAATAGAAATCTACTAAGAGATTAAGATAGCTACATCGGCCGGCGCCGCGGCTCACTAGGATAATCCTCTGCCTTGCAGCACCGGCACACCGGGTTCTAGTCCTGGTCGGGGCACCGGATTCTGTCCCGCTTGCCCCTCTTCCAGGCCAGCTCTCTGCTGTGGCCCGGGAGTGCAGTGAAGGATGGCCCAAGTCCTTGGGCCCTGCACCCCATGGGAGACCAGGATAAGTACCTGGCTCCTGCCATCGGATCAGCGCAGTGCGCCGGCCACAGCGCACCAGCCGCGGCGGCCATTGGAGGGTGAACCAACGGCAAAAGGAAGACCTTTCTCTCTGTCTCTCTCTCTCACTGTCCACTCTGCCTGTCAAAAAATAAAAAAAAAATAAAAATATATATATATATAAAAAAGATAGCTACATCAAGTTACATGGTTAATAATCTGTCTTTGTAAATTAAAGGATTAAACCTTTATTTAACGGCTGCTTTTGCTTCCTTGAATTCAGCACTTGTCCCACAGTGTAGCCTACAGTCTCAGAAGATTCTTCAGACTGAAGCTTGCTCTGGATTCTCTTGACAGCATTGGTAGCATTCAGAGCAGCTAAAAAGAAGAACATTTCAAAAGTATCTCAACTGCACAAACTTTTTCAAAAAGTACTTCAATTTACAGATACATCACTATTTTAGTTAATTAGGCTAAGGATATCAAAAGCTAAATATTCCTTAAAAGTGATTGTGTTCCAGAAAGAACCCAATAAAGAAGGCTATTAGAAATAATGCAAAGGGAGAACAAACCTCTTTGTTCCACTGATGACAGAGCAGATGATGGAGTTCCTGGAGGGGTTACTGTTTGTGATTGTGCTGCCAATTTCTGCTGAATATCAGTCCAGAGTTTATTAATTAACTCAGAATTTTCTTCCTTTAGTTGGTGGAGAAACCTATAAATTATGGGACAATAACCTAGATTATAATTAACAGGTACAATCATTTAAATTGTTCAATTATTTGTTTGGAAGATTATTCATAACCAAAGAAAAAATCCTTTTCACTTTAAAAGAAAAGATTAGACAAGTTAAAATGTCTATCACCTTAGAGGTAGAAGAAATCATATATCTGCCTCCCAGCTTCCTAACTGCCTCGGCCCCTAAGGGAGAAGCATTTACCCTTTCTGCAGTTTTGTGGTCTGGCTCCATCCTCCTCTCTCCACAGTTACTAAATATCTATGGCTCAGCCTGTGTTGGTGTTTCTCTCCTACAAAGAAGCCTATCCACAGAGCAGTCTGTGTGCATTACTGAGGTCTGTGGGGAAGGGGCAAGGGGACTGAGGAAAGGAGCTACAGTTTACACTGCTAGTATTCACAAAAGAGCTAAGCCTCATACTGTAATTATCATTATCAGTGTTACAGCAGATATTTTAATCTTCAACTATCTGATTCATTTGTACTAAACTTAAAAGAGGCAGAGGGGCAAAAAAGTATAAACAACCCAAATGTTCACCTGCTGATGAATGAATAGGTAAAATCTTGGTGTAGCCGTGCAGTGAAATATTATTCAGTCATAAAAAAGAATGTAGCACTGATATATGCTACAATAGATATGAGCCTTAAAAATATTATGCAAAGTGAGACATCAGCCATGAATGACAGCATACTCCATAGTCTACATATGTAAAAAAATTTATAAAATGTCCAAGATAGGCAAATCTATAGTGGCTGCCTAGAGCTGGTTTGCAGGAAAATGAGGTTTGACAGCTAAAGAGCATGGAGGTTTCTTTTTGAGATGATGAAAATATTCTAAAATTGACAGTGATGAGTGCATGACTCTGTGAATATACTATGAACTATTGAATATTTTTTTGACAGGCAAAGTTAGACAGAGAGGTCTTTCTTCCGTTGGTTCACCCTCCAATGGCAACTGCGGCCGGCGCGCTGTGCTGATCCGAAGCCAGGAGCCAGGTGCTTCCTCCTGGTCTCCCACGCGGGTGCAGGGCCCAAGCACTTGGGCCATCCTCCACTGCCTTCCCGGGCCACAGCAGAGAGCTGGACTGGAAGAGGAGCAACTGGGACAGAATCTGGTGCCCCAACCAGCACTAGAACTCGGGGTGCCAGCGCCACAGGCACAGGATTAGCCAAGTGAACTGCGGCGCCAGCAAACTATTAAATATTTTAAATAAGCAAACTCTATGACACATGAACTCTAAATTGATAAAACTGTTACCAAAAAAAAAAAAGAGAGAGAGAGAAAGAGAAAAGGGAATCTTAATTAGTGACCCCACAAATTTCAGCCTAAAGGAGTTGATTTCAAACAACCTTCAAAATAGCACATTAGAACACTAGTTGCTAAAATGTTTAGCAAAAGGTTAGTGACTAGTTACAAAACATCAGAAAGACACCTTAGTAAGACAGTGTAAGATTTCTATACAAGTTAGGCAAATAACCTGAATCAGCGTGGAAAGCACATTACTGTCTCTAATAGTTATACTTCTAAGAGTCAGATTAGGGAGCTGACGTTGTGGCATAGTAGGCTAAACCTAGGCCTGGGGCACCAGCATCCTATATGGGCGCCAATTAGAGTCCCAGCTGCTCCTCTTCTTATCCAGCTCTTTGCTTGTGGCCTGAGGAAGGTCCAAGTGCTTGGGCACTGCACCCGCGTGGGAGACCCAGAGGAAGCGTCTGGCTCCTGGCTTTGAATTGGCCTGGCTCCAGCCATTATGACCATTTGGGAAGTGAACCAGCACATGGAAGACCTTTCTCTCTGTCTATAGTTTTACCCCTCAAATAAATAAATTTTTTAAAAAATCTTGGAAAAAAAAAAAGAGTCAGGTTATATGAAATAATAGCAACAATTAAAATAATACCTTCTATGGCAGAAAACAAAACGACCTAATCCCTGGAACCCATGAATGCTACCTTATTTGTCTAAAAACGAACTTGGCATACATGATTAAGAATCATAAGAAAGGGAAATGATCCTGAATTATTTGGATGGGCCCTAAATGCAAATTAACGTCTTAATGCAAGGGAGACACAGGGGATTCGATACACAGTGAGAAGATAATAAGATGGAGGCAGAGATTGGAGTGATGTAGCCAAACCAAGGAATGTCAATAGCCACCAGAAGGTGGAAAAACCAAGAAGATTCTCTGCTGGATACTCTGGAGGGAATATGGACCTACCAACACTTTGATATCAGTCTAGTGAAACTAACTTCAGATATCAAGCCTCCAGAACTTTAAAGATAATCAATATCTATTGTTTTACACCATCAAGTTTGTATTAATGTTATAATATCCTTAGGAAATAATATAATTCTAGGACCTAGATATGTCATGCTGGTATAAGTACCTAAAAATGTGGAAGTAGCTTAGGAATTGAACAACTAAAGGCTGGAAGGACTTTTAGGGGAATGATAAAAAAAGCCTCAATTGCTTTAAACAGACTGTTGGCAGAAATACTGTTTGTTTTTTTCCTAAAGATTTATTTATGTTTATTTGAAAGGCAGAGTTACAGAGGGGCAGAGAGAGACAGGTCTTCCAACTGCTGATTCACTCCCCAAATGGTCGCAATGGCTGGAGCTGGGCTGAACAAAAGCCAGGAGCCAGGAGCTTTCTCTGAGTCTCCCACATGGGTGCAGGGGCCCAAGGACTTGGGCCATCTTCTACTGCTTTCCCAGGCCATAGCAGAGAACTGGATCAGAGGTGGAGCAGCCAAGACTCGAACTGGTGCCCATATGGGATGCCGGCACTGCAGGTGGAGGCTTTACCCACTACACCACAGCACCGGCCCCAGAAACACTGTTGTTAAAGACTCTTCTACTGAGGTTTCAGGAGAAATGAGAAGTACAGTAAAGAAAGTCTGTATTATCTTAGAGAATACATATTTTGTTCTAAGTAGAATGTGGGTAGAAATAATGAAAAGGAGCTTATGATAAGGGTTCAGAAGGAAGTAAGGAACATGTTGGAAACTACAAGAACAGCAATCCCCGTGGTAAGGTAGCAGAAAACTTAGTTGTATGGAAAGCAGAATTCATAAGCAATGAATTTGGATACTTAGCTAAGAACATTTCAAGGCCAAGTACTGAAGGTACAGCCTGCCTCCTCCTGAAGACTGATGCAAAATTCAAGAGAAAGGATATAAACTGAGGGAGGAACTATTCCAAAAGGAACCAAGACAAGATAATTGAGAAATTCTCACAGTGTCGAGACTGCAAAAGGTGCTCAAATTACTGGAGTCACTGTTAGGAAAGCATACTGGTGGAAGAAGGGCTAGGGCATGTATGAACAACCATTTGCTAGTTCTGAACAGATAAGGAATGTGACTCAAGGATCCACTTTTTTTTTCAGCAGAGGCCAGCAATAAAGATGGGATTATCCAGGAAAGATCAGTGGAGGATCTGTTATCTATTGGAGTGAATGGTACTTTTTTGTTTTGTTTCTTTTTTTGAAGACTTATTTATTTGAAAGGCAGAATGGTGGGGGATGGGGGGAGAAGATATATCTTCCATCTACTGGTTTAATCCCCAAATGGCCATGGCTGGGCCAGACCAAAGTCAGGAGCCAGGAACTCCATTCAGGTCTCCCTCATGGGTGGCAGGAACCCAAGTACTTGGGCCATCATTTGCCGCTTCCCAGGCACATCAGCAGGGGGGTGAATCAGAAGCAGAGCAGCCACGACTTAAACCAGCGCTCTGATAAAGTATGCCAGCAACTTAAGTGGTAGCTTAAGTGCTGCGTCACAATGCCAGCCCCCTACATGATCTTTTGAGAATGTTACACAAGCAGAAATACCATCAACTTGGACTGACAAGAAGAGAGACAGAATGAAATGAAGGTTGAACGGCAGACCCCCAAATATCTACAAACAAGAAACAGGCTGATAAAACAACTCAGCTGTGAACATGGGCTATCTTCAAGAACAAGGAAGAATGACACCAAAGCTTTAAGAGCTGGAGATGTAGAGACCACACTCAGGCATAGAGGCTAAGCCCAGTGCCACAGAAATGGAAGCAAGAGTCACGGACCCAGAGGATGAAGGCTAAAGCCATAGATGAGTATTTCTGATCCTTGAAACCTAATGGAATTTGTTATGCGGGATTTTACAGTTACAAATGGTGACCCCTTTCTTCAATTTTTACCTATAAAAAAGAATTATAAGGTAGGTGGTTAGCCCAGCAGTTAAGATGCCCACACCTCACATTAGAGTACCTGGGTTCAATTTCTGGCTCCAGCTCCTGATTTCAGCTTCCTACTAATTAGGGGCACTGGGAACCAGAAGGTGATGACTCAAGAGCTGAGTTCCTTTTATTCAGGTGGAAGACTGAGGTTAAGTTCCTGATTCCCAGCTTCAATCTGGCCCAGCCTCAGCTACTATGCTCATTTAACGAGTGAACCAGGAGATGGAAGCTTGCTCGCCCACACTCCCTCTCAAACAACAGAAGCGTTTTCCTAAGATTAAAAACAAGGCAAAGATGCCTACTATTTTCTCTATTTTCAATACTGTTCTATAGCCTATACAATAATACAAAAGAGACCAGTTGGAGATGTGAGACTTAGAAACAAATAAAACTATGTTTACTTGCAGATCATATGATAGTAAACCTAGAAAATCAACGCTAAAACTAATCCAACCAATAAAGTAGCAGAATAGCAAGATGGTACACAAAAATCAATAGCATTCATAAACACAAACAATAACTAGTTAGAAGGTATAACAGAAAATTCCTCTTGAAAACAAAATAGTGAATAAATTTAATGAAAGTAAGCAAAATTAATGAGAAAAATATTTAAACCTTCATCAAAAACAAAACAGTAAACTTTTAACAAGTGAAAATATACATTTTGTTCTTGGATAGTAAAATTTAATATCATGAAGAGGTCAGTTCTCACTAGCTCATCTAATAATATGACATGTCCTTACAAAAAATACCAGTAAGCTTTTTTA